CGTTGCCACTCACTACCCCACAATCCATGTTCATCCATATCCACCGCATTGAATAGCACTGTACCACACTGAACCGCACTGAACCCCTCCTCACCTGTGTCAATGTACGAAGGGTCCAAGTACCCCATTGTCCCCATGATGCGCGTCGACACATGCGACTTTCCCGCCTCGGGCCCTGCAGTTGCCATCCCGAAATCCGTCAGCTTCGCACGCATGTGCTGTGGAGTGGGGAGAAAGGCCGAGAGGGGTGAGAGTGGGTGAGAGGGCGGTGAGAGGCTGCAGAGAGCAACTGGCACTGCGAATTGCCCGCCTCGGGGCCTGCTGTGGCCATGCCGAAATCCGTCAGCTTCGCACGCATGTGCTGTGGAGTGGGGAGAAAGGATGAGAGAAAGGGAGAGATATCAGAATGCGAAGGAGCGCGCGACTTGCCCGCCTCGGGCCCTGCTGTAGCCATTCCGAAATCCGTCAGCTTCGCATTCAGGTGCTGTGGGGGGTGGGGGGGAGGGGGTGAGAGAGGGGGCGAGGGAGAGGGTGAGAGAGGGGGCTGAAAGATTGAGTGAGAGGCCGCATCTGGCATGGAAACTTGCCTGCCTCGGGCCCTGCAGTTGCCATTCCGAAATCCGTCCGCTTCGCAGTCACGTGCTGTGGGGGGGTGGGGGGGGAGGGGAGGGAAAGGGGAGAGGAAAGGGAGAGGTGTATTCGACAACTGATGTCGGGATGAGAGGGCTTTTGAGGCACCTCAAAAGGGGGGGCCTTTTGAGGCGCTTCAAAAAGGGGGGGAGGGAAAGGGGAGAGGAGAGGGAGAGATGTATGCGACAACTGATGTCAAAATCTGTCAAAATCCGTCAGATCCGTCAGAAAGGAAACGATGGACAACTGAGACGGAAAGATGTCAGAATGAGAGGGCGGGTGAGAGAGCAGGTTGCGACGGAGGGCAAGAGGGAGGTTGAGGGTGAGCTCACAGCAGGGTGAGCTCACAGCAGGGTGAGCTGAGCTCCTGCTGTGGCCATTCAAGAACTCATTGGCTGTGTGCCGTTGTTAGTTACCTCATCCTGCTGCCCACAGTACGCCAGTGCAGATACACCCTGTACGCGTTATTACCACATCCAGCAGAATGTTGCTTGTCTTGAAGTCCCGGCGAATCACGTTCTGCCCGTGCAAATACACCCTATACGCGTTATTACCTCATCCAGTAAAATGTTGCACGTCTTGAAGTCCCTGTGAATCACGTTCTGCCCGTGCAGGTACTCCAGCCCTCTTGCCACGTCCACAGCTATGCGCACGCGCTGCTGCCACGTCAGCACAGGCGTGGCGGGATCAATGGCACTGGCAGCAGCACCAGACACACCCCTAGCCGCTGCAGCAGCTGTAGCAGCAGCATCCCGTATAGCAGCATCATCTATAGCAGCAGCGTTGTCTGTAGCAGCCTCACTCATACCCCCCCACCTCCGCTTCCTCTCCTCCTCCTCCCCCTCCTCCTCCTGCTCCTCCTGCTGACGTGGATACAGCCACGTGTGCAGATTCCCCCTCTCTATAAGCTCATACACCAGCAATGCAGCAGCACCCCCCCGGGGCCGATTCAAGTCCATACAGTACCCTAGCAGCCGCACCAGATTAGGGTGGTTTAAACTCCCAAGCATTATAATCTCTGACATACACTCATCTACGGCCTTGAAACTGCCGCTGTGTAGCACCTTCACTGCCACGTCACGCTGACGTGGCGTCCCACCTCCACCACCACCACCTGAAGCACCACCACCCGCTCTCCCTGCTCTCCCTGCTCTTCCTGCTCTCCCTGCTCTTTCTTCCTCGTTCCTCTGTGCTTTCCCTCCTCCTCCTCTCTCCTCCCCTGGAACCTTCCTGTCATCTTCCTCGCCGAGCCACTCCTCCACCGAGCCTCGGTACACCGTGCCGAAGCTGCCGCGACCCAGGATCTGGCTCGGGCCGAACCACTGCGTGGCCTGCTGCAGCTCACGGTAGGTGAACCGGCGGAGTGGTAATGCGGACCAGGTCTCGTCCTTTTGAGAATTCTCAAAAAACATACTCCGTTGAGAGGGGCACTGGTAGTGCCCCTCATCCGTGGTTGTGAATCGGCTAGTGCCGGACACTGGTAGGAGGGGAAGACGTGGGGAGAGGAAGGAGGGGAGGCAGGAGGGCAGGCAGGAGGGGAGGCAGGAGGGGAGGCAGGAGGGGAGGCAGGAGGGGAGGCAGGAGGGGAGGCAGGAGGGGAGGCAGGAGGGGAGGCAGGAGGGGAGGCAGGAGGGGAGGCAGGAGGGGAGGCAGGAGGGGAGGCAGGAGGGGAGGCAGGAGGGGAGGCAGGAGGGGAGGCAGGAGGGGAGGCAGGAGGGGAGGCAGGAGGGGAGGCAGGAGGGGAGGCAGGAGGGGAGGCAGGAGGGGAGGCAGGAGGGGAGGCAGGAGGGGAGGCAGGAGGGGAGGCAGGAGGGGAGGCAGGAGGGGAGGCAGGAGGGGAGGCAGGAGGGGAGGCAGGAGGGGAGGCAGGAGGGAGGCAGGAGGGGAGGCAGGAGGGGAGGCAGGAGGGGAGGCAGGAGGGGAGGCAGGAGGGGAGGCAGGAGAGGAGGGTAGGCAGGAGGGGAGGCAGGAGGGTAGGCAGGAGGGGAGGCAGGAGGGGAGGCAGGAGGGGAGGCAGGAGGGGAGGCAGGAGGGGAGGCAGGAGGGGAGGCAGGAGGGGAGGCAGGAGGGGAGGCAGGAGGGGAGGCAGGAGGGGAGGCAGGAGGGGAGGCAGGAGGGGAGGCAGGAGGGGAGGCAGGAGGGGAGGCAGGAGGGGAGGCAGGAGGGGAGGCAGGAGGGAGGCAGGAGGGGAGGCAGGAGGGGAGGCAGGAGGGGAGGCAGGAGGGGAGGCAGGAGGGGAGGCAGGAGAGGAGGGTAGGCAGGAGGGGAGGCAGGAGGGTAGGCAGGAGGGGAGGCAGGAGGGTAGGCAGGAGGGGAGGCAGGAGGGGAGGCAGGAGGGTAGGCAGGAGGGGAGGCAGGAGGGGAGGCAGGAGGGGAGGCAGGAGGGGAGGCAGGAGGGGAGGCAGGAGAGGAGGGTAGGCAGGAGGGGAGGCAGGAGGGTAGGCAGGAGGGGAGGCAGGAGGGTAGGCAGGAGGGGAGGCAGGAGGGGAGGCAGGAGGGTAGGCAGGAGGGGAGGCAGGAGGGATTGGTCCTTGAGAGAATTCTCAGAAACTACTAGCTTGGTGGAGTGCTGCTGACGTGGTCCAGGTCTCATCCGATGTTGTGAATCGACTAGTGCCTGACACTGGCAGGGAGGGAAGACATGGGAAGAGAGGCAGGAGAGATCGTGTGAGATTAAGAGGAGCCACCGCGTGGGATGCTGCAGCTCGCGGTGAGGTCACTTTGAGGAGGCGAGGCTGCAGGCGATGGAGTGGACGGCAGCCAAGCCATGTAAGTTGAACCACGGCCGTGAGCGGTGCACGTGGCAGCACGCGCCAGCACCCACCTGAGGAGGCGCGGCTGCAGGCGATGGAGTGGACGGCAGCCAAGAAGTACAAGTGGAAGGGGAAGGGGAACCAACCACGACCTTGGTCGGCGCTGGCGAGGAGATGAAGAAGGTGGTCTATACTGAGAGCAAGAAGAAGAAGAAGAAGAGAAATGAAGCATACTGCGAGCAGCGCAAGTGGCAGCACGGACCTGAGGAGGCGAAGCTGCAGGCGATAGAGTGGACGGCTGCGAAACCGTGCAAGTGGAAGTGGAACCACGATCGTGGTTGGCGGCGCTGCTGGGGCATCAGCGACACGCTTCGCGGACCGCCTTTACTCAGCCTGCTCTCGCAGCAGCCCATGATGGCTTAGCGGTGGCGGCGGACGAAGCGAAAACCTTTCTATTTCTAGGGCGCCTAATAAAAACAGCAGCCCATGATGGCGTCTAACATAATCAACCCATGGCGGTGTTAAAAAGACTAACGAGGTGGCGACTGCACCCAGAAGTTGCTTCTGAGTCGACTCAAATGTCGGTGCCACGTCTAACCATGGCGCCCAAGTGTCGTCTCCTCAGCCTCAGCTATGGCTGGCCGCAAGCGGCGGGCCTAGTCGAGCGGTGCAGAATAAGGGCCATTTTTTGACGCTAATCTACAGACGCTTGCACATAGGAGTTGGACAGATACCTCTAATTCGTCGCGCGCAAATCACTTATAAGGCGCGTGAAAATGTCCATAGAAGTGCCTTTGATACACGGTTGTTCGAAGATTTTTTAGAAAGCTGGCGAGAAACATACCGTGTCCCTTTTACTAGAACTAGTACGCGACGCCAGTGGACGCGTCCTAAAATGGTGGGACTGATTAAAGTGGTGCAATATGGTGCACGAGTGCGCGAGAAATAAGCTGAGCGGTTTCAGTAGGCTGCGGCAAAAAATCGAGTGGCTTCACAGCAGTGGGAGATATGAAAGCCGTCCTTCCCAGGCATCCAAAGGAACCGTGAGTAATTCTAGTAGAATCATTCACATACAAAGCAGTTTTGTGGGTTGCATTACGTTTCAGAATGGTAGAAAGCCAAATATCGTTGTCTAATCCTTGGAAACGCACTGAACCGCACTAGAGAATTTGTTTTGTGGAAAACCAGAGGCTACATGGAGGAGCAGCAAACCTTGCTGAGCGTCTCGGCAATCAGGACGACGGCTTTTTACCGTACGATAAATGAGTATCGGCCGTTCGATTATCAACGCTGACAAGGCATTGTGCCGCCTGAGGCTGGTTTCGTCTGCGGTAACGTATGTCTGTCGCTGTTGCAGTTTCGCAACAGCCGCGTGCTCGACCTGCTTTGAACGAGACACTTCCACGTGGCTGACAAAAGGGATGTCGTGCTAAGGTGCTCTCGATACGGAGATACTTCGATTCTGTACAGAAAACATCTAAATTGAGTTATACAATTATCTGGATCGCGAGTGCCGTGTTTTCCTTGTGATACCCTTCAGATAGCGCTTCGGCAGCTGGTCAGCGGCAGGTCTGACACAATTGCAAGTAACCAATGAATCGTCGCATCCAGGTGGTCCAGGCCAGAGACAAACCTGCAACTTCTGAACCGAAGCACACAAGTTGGCGGGAAACACCCTCGAACCGAGCTGTATAAAAGCCAAGCCTCACTGTTTTCGCTGAAAGCAAATCACAGAGCGACACATGACTTCCCGCCCCAGCGAAAATTTGGCCTGGCGAATCTGGAAGTCTTGGTGATGGTGCTGAACATGGAGCTCCAAAATGTTTTGATGATGATTTTCGAGTGCGGGCGGTGTTGCACATATCGATTTCAAAAACCACGGTTCGGTATGGTTTGTTCTGGTCGTAAGCGTTTGAGTACAGAAACCGCTGTCTATCGTGTGGTACCATACGGTAACGCACTTCTCCATCATCAAACAAACCTGCCACCAGGCTTTCCTGACATCAGTTTGCTAGTCAAGCGATCTGCTACCAGCAATGGCTCCAATTTGTGCTTCGGTTGAAGGGATGGAGATTTCGAAGATTGCATAACCTACGTCGACCCATCACCAAACCAGAGTTAGCTTCCGTGGTTCTCGATTCTTCAACTCATTCTGCACGTTAGACTTCGAATGCTGGCAGAAGTGACTCGCGAGAGAACTAGAACAATCATACTGACAGTAGTGACGACCTCAGTTATACGCTAGTTTATGTAGATGAGGAACGTTTCAGCAACAGAATGACGAAAGCTGGAGATCCGTCTGCCATGGCGGACCATCGAGCAGAAAGGCATGGAATTGCCGAACCGTCAGCCACGCCGCGATCGTCGTCGATTGGTGGTAGTTTCGGTTCATCAATCCCAAGTCCTGTAGTTAAACAACGGTTACTATTCCAGTCACCACAAGGAGCATCGGAAGTCCTTATAGCGAAGGAAAACGGTCCAGGTAAGGAGGGAGGCTCTGGTATTCCAGTGTCACCCAGGCCTGGCCTCAAACCTCCAGGAACGGTCACTAGTCTCCGAACCTCGTGGACACCTTCGTCGCGCCTTCCGTCGAACCTGCCGCGTAGGTCAGGCTCGGGTCAATGCTCGGAGGACGCAGGGGAGCTGAGCCGGACCAGCTCAGCAAGCTCGGATGCCGGAAGAAGGTTCGGGACGGAAACTCCGGGCAGGAGTAGCGCGAGTGACGCCGCGAGTGCTAGTAGAATCCATTACAATGGCGGAGGGAAGGCGACTGGAGTCCTGCGTCCGAGTAATCATGGTACGCTATACCCGTTAAGGTGTATTACACCATCTTGAAGAGCAAATATTAAATGGTATGTAACCGCGGCGTCTGCAGTAAACCTGTTTCATAACTGTAGAAATTGCAAGCGGCGCTGTTCAAGTCTGTCTCCTTATGATCCTCGTCATCCTTTTTCGTCAGCTTTGAAAATATTGTAACACCCGTTTCGCACGGATGCTTTTCTTCGTTATCCCCGGTTTCAGCTGGCGAGCAGGCGACCTCGTTAGCTGCTGACGTCAAGCCTGAAAGAAGATCGAACCCTGGGCAGGAGCAACGGCAGCGTCAGCAGGATTCGATGCAGCACCAGCAGCAGCAGCACCACCACCACCAGCAGCATGAGCAGCAGCCGCAGCAGGCTGGTGGTAGGTTCGGGTTCAAATCCCCCTCATTGCAAAACCATCGGCAGCACGAATCGCAGCCAACGTCGCCGCTGCTGGCGGCGCAGCAGCCGCGAGGTCACATGCAGCCGGAAGAACGCGTGATTGGAAGCTTCTCCGCAGTTCCGGACGGGTCGGACCGGAGGCTCAGCTTCGGAAGGGTGGAGTCGCAGCTTCGGGTGAAAGAGATGAGAGGTTCGGAGATGAGAGGCTTGGAGAGGAAAGGTTCGGAAAGGAAAGCCGTTGGGGGAGGTCGGGAGGGGGTTACGCGCGCGGGGAACGGGGAGGAAGCGGCGGAGGAGGAGAGGTGGAGGGAGATTGAGAGGGAGAGAGAGAGGGAGATAGAGAGGGAGATGGAGGTTGAGCGAATGAGGGAGGAGAAGGAGAGAGCGGAGAATGAAGAGAGGGAGGAGAGGGACGAGAGAGAAAGGCTTTTGAAGGAAGAGAGGGAGAAGGAGAGGAAGGAGAAGGAGAGGAGAGTTCAGGAAGAGAAGGCAAGGCGTGAACGAGAAGAGAAAGAGAGGGTTGAGAGGGAGATAGCAGAGAGGGAACGGAAGGAGAGGGAGAAGGCCGAACGGGAAAAGATGGAGAAAGAAAGGAAAGAGAGGGAGAGGAGGGAGAGGGAGAGGTTTGAGAGGGAGAGGGTGGAGAGGGAGGAAAGGGAACAGCGGGAGAGAATGGAGCGAGAGTTGGAGGAGCGGAGGGAGAAGGAGAGGCAAGAGGAGCTGGCGAAAGTGAGACAGAGGGAGCGAGGGCGGTTGAGAGAGATTGAGCTGGAGATGGAGCGGCAGAGGCATGTGCGAATCGCAGAAGAACGGCAGAGGGTGAAGGAGAGGGCTGAGGAGCGAGAGAAGGAGCGGCGGAGAATGGAAGAGGGGGAGAAGGAGCGGGAGAGGGAGAGGGAGAAGGAGAGGGAGAGGGTGAGAGTGGAGCAGAGGCGGAGAGAGGAGGAACGGCGGCTGCGGCGGCAAGAAGAAGTCCAGAGGCGGAAGGAGAGGCGCGGAGATGAGCTATCAGGGAAGGCCATGGGGGATCCTCTTCGTGTGATCGCCTGGGTGGCGGGAGCAGGAGTGTCGTCTGCTGCTTTCGGCAAGCCTTCCGGCTCGTTTGGAACACCTTATCAGGTATAAGTTGTGGAATTTTGTTAAGCGGCCATGGGGGGGGGGGGTATCCTCTTCGTGTGATCGCCTGGGTTGCGGGAGCAGGAATGTCGTCTGCTGCTTTCAGCGAGCCTTCTGGCTCGTTTGGTACGCCATATAAGGTAAAACTGAAAGAGGAGCTGAGATTTCCTTAAAATTGCAGCCAAAGAAGACAAGTGCACACATGCCCTTTGCGTTGCGCTCGTAGGTTGGTTCGGCGTGCCATATTGAGTGTTTTTGTTGCCGTGATTGTTCCTAATGATGCGATTGGAGGTTGATGGTGATTGTTTGCTCATCGTGTTGTGCATGTATTAGGTGTGTCTATGTATGTCCAACTCGTGTTTGTTCTTTCCCAGGGCTCCGGATCATTCTCAGATTGTACGTGATTTGATCATGTGATCGTATGTGTGTCCACTTCGTGTTTTCTCTTTTCCAGGCGTCTCCGGATCATTCTCAGGTGCTGCAGCAGTGGGTGCAGAGAGCAACCCACTTCCACAGCAGGCTGGGATCTGACGTGGCTCCAGCTGACGTGGCTCCAGCTGACGTGGCACCAGCGTCAGCTGTAGCGGAATTTTGGCGGGGTGTCAGGGCAGCAGTGGAGGCGGCAGAGGATGTGGCTATAGCGGGGGGTGGTGAGGAGCAGCAGGAGGGCGTGACTGTGACTGAAGGCGCGTGTGACTTAGCTGCAGTGCGACAGCTGCAGGGAAATGCGAGGAAGCGAGGTAAGATGTCACTAGCAAACCATCCACCCTACCTACCAACCACCCTTCCTTTAGCCTTTTCTCCTCAACCCCACCTGGATGCTATTTTGTCCTTTATGTTCACATTCCCCCAATCTCTCATTCCCCCAATCTCTCATTCCCCCAATCTCTCATTCCCCCAATCTCTCATTCCCCCAATCTCTCATTCCCCCAATCTCTCATTCCCCCAATCTCTCATTCCCCCAATCTCTCATTCTCCCAATCTCTCATTCCCCCAATCTCTCATTCCCCCAATCTCTCATTCCCCCAATCTCTCATTCCCCCAATCTCTCATTCCCCCAATCTCTCATTCCCCCAATCTCTCATTCCCCCAATCTCTCATTCCCCCAATCTCTCATTCCCCCAATCTCTCATTCCCCCAATTTCTCATTCCCCCAATCTCTCATTCCCCCAATCTCTCATTCCCCCAATCTCTCATTCCCCCAATCTCTCATTCCCCCAATCTCTCATTCCCCCAATCTCTCATTCCCCCAATCTCTCATTCTCCCAATCTCTCATTCCCCCAATCTCTCATTCCCCCAATCTCTCATTCCCCCAATCTCTCATTCCCCCAATCTCTCATTCCCCCAATCTCTCATTCCCCCAATCTCTCATTCCCCCAATCTCTCATTCCCCCAATTTCTCATTCCCCCAATCTCTCATTCTCCCAATCTCTCATTCCCCCAATCTCTCATTCCCCCAATCTCTCATTCCCCCAATCTCTCATTCCCCCAATCCCTCATTCCCCCAATCCCTCATTCCCCCAATCTCTCATTCCCCCAATCTCTCATTCCCCCAATCTCTCATTCCCCCAATCTCTCATTCTCCCAATCTCTCATTCCCCCAATCTCTCATTCCCCCAATCTCTCATTCCCCCAATCTCTCATTCCCCCAATCCCTCATTCCCCCAATCCCTCATTCCCCCAATCTCTCATTCCCCCAATCTCTCATTCCCCCAATCTCTCATTCTCCCAATCTCTCATTCCCCCAATCTCTCATTCCCCCAATCTCTCATTCCCCCAATCTCTCATTCCCCCAATCTCTCATTCCCCCAATCTCTCATTCCCCCAATCTCTCATTCCCCCAATCTCTCATTCCCCCAATCTCTCATTCCCCCAATCTCTCATTCCCCCAATTTCTCATTCCCCCAATCTCTCATTCTCCCAATCTCTCATTCCCCCAATCTCTCATTCCCCCAATCTCTCATTCCCCCAATCTCTCATTCCCCCAATCCCTCATTCCCCCAATCCCTCATTCCCCCAATCTCTCATTCCCCCAATCTCTCATTCCCCCAATCTCTCATTCCCCCAATCTCTCATTCCCCCAATCTCTCATTCCCCCAATCTCTCATTCCCCCAATCTCTCATTCCCCCAATCTCTCATTCTCCCAATCTCTCATTCCCCCAATCTCTCATTCCCCCAATCTCTCATTCCCCCAATCTCTCATTCCCCCAATCTCTCATTCCCCCAATCTCTCATTCCCCCAATCTCTCATTCCCCCAATCTCTCATTCCCCCAATCTCTCATTCCCCCAATCTCTCATTCCCCCAATTTCTCATTCCCCCAATCTCTCATTCTCCCAATCTCTCATTCCCCCAATCTCTCATTCCCCCAATCTCTCATTCCCCCAATCTCTCATTCCCCCAATCCCTCATTCCCCCAATCCCTCATTCCCCCAATCTCTCATTCCCCCAATCTCTCATTCCCCCAATCTCTCATTCCCCCAATCTCTCATTCCCCCAATCTCTCATTCCCCCAATCTCTCATTCCCCCAATCTCTCATTCCCCCAATCTCTCATTCCCCCAATCTCTCATTCCCCCAATCTCTCATTCCCCCAATCTCTCATTCCCCCAATCTCTCATTCTCCCAATCTCTCATTCCCCCAATCTCTCATTCCCCCAATCTCTCATTCCCCCAATCTCTCATTCCCCCAATCTCTCATTCCCCCAATCTCTCATTCCCCCAATCTCTCATTCCCCCAATCTCTCATTCCCCCAATCTCTCATTCCCCCAATCTCTCATTCTCCCAATCTCTCATTCCCCCAATCTCTCATTCCCCCAATCTCTCATTCCCCCAATCTCTCATTCCCCCAATCTCTCATTCCCCCAATCTCTCATTCCCCCAATCTCTCATTCCCCCAATCTCTCATTCCCCCAATCTCTCATTCCCCCAATCTCTCATTCCCCCAATTTCTCATTCCCCCAATCTCTCATTCTCCCAATCTCTCATTCCCCCAATCTCTCATTCCCCCAATCTCTCATTCCCCCAATCTCTCATTCCCCCAATCCCTCATTCCCCCAATCCCTCATTCCCCCAATCTCTCATTCCCCCAATCTCTCATTCCCCCAATCTCTCATTCCCCCAATCTCTCATTCCCCCAATCTCTCATTCCCCCAATCTCTCATTCCCCCAATCTCTCATTCCCCCAATCTCTCATTCCCCCAATCTCTCATTCTCCCAATCTCTCATTCCCCCAATCTCTCATTCCCCCAATCTCTCATTCCCCCAATCTCTCATTCCCCCAATCTCTCATTCCCCCAATCTCTCATTCCCCCAATCTCTCATTCCCCCAATCTCTCATTCCCCCAATCTCTCATTCCCCCAATTTCTCATTCCCCCAATCTCTCATTCTCCCAATCTCTCATTCCCCCAATCTCTCATTCCCCCAATCTCTCATTCCCCCAATCTCTCATTCCCCCAATCCCTCATTCCCCCAATCCCTCATTCCCCCAATCTCTCATTCCCCCAATCTCTCATTCCCCCAATCTCTCATTCCCCCAATCTCTCATTCTCCCAATCTCTCATTCCCCCAATCTCTCATTCCCCCAATCTCTCATTCCCCCAATCTCTCATTCCCCCAATCCCTCATTCCCCCAATCCCTCATTCCCCCAATCTCTCATTCCCCCAATCTCTCATTCCCCCAATCTCTCATTCTCCCAATCTCTCATTCCCCCAATCTCTCATTCCCCCAATCTCTCATTCCCCCAATCTCTCATTCCCCCAATCTCTCATTCCCCCAATCTCTCATTCCCCCAATCTCTCATTCCCCCAATCTCTCATTCCCCCAATCTCTCATTCCCCCAATTTCTCATTCCCCCAATCTCTCATTCTCCCAATCTCTCATTCCCCCAATCTCTCATTCCCCCAATCTCTCATTCCCCCAATCTCTCATTCCCCCAATCCCTCATTCCCCCAATCCCTCATTCCCCCAATCTCTCATTCCCCCAATCTCTCATTCCCCCAATCTCTCATTCCCCCAATCTCTCATTCCCCCAATCTCTCATTCCCCCAATCTCTCATTCCCCCAATCTCTCATTCCCCCAATCTCTCATTCTCCCAATCTCTCATTCCCCCAATCTCTCATTCCCCCAATCTCTCATTCCCCCAATCTCTCATTCTCCCAATCTCTCATTCCCCCAATCTCTCATTCCCCCAATCTCTCATTCCCCCAATCTCTCATTCCCCCAATCTCTCATTCCCCCAATCTCTCATTCCCCCAATCTCTCATTCCCCCAATCTCTCATTCCCCCAATTTCTCATTCCCCCAATCTCTCATTCTCCCAATCTCTCATTCCCCCAATCTCTCATTCCCCCAATCTCTCATTCCCCCAATCTCTCATTCCCCCAATCCCTCATTCCCCCAATCCCTCATTCCCCCAATCTCTCATTCCCCCAATCTCTCATTCCCCCAATCTCTCATTCCCCCAATCTCTCATTCCCCCAATCTCTCATTCCCCCAATCTCTCATTCCCCCAATCTCTCATTCCCCCAATCTCTCATTCTCCCAATCTCTCATTCCCCCAATCTCTCATTCTCCCAATCTCTCATTCTCCCAATCTCTCATTCCCCCAATCTCTCATTCCCCCAATCTCTCATTCCCCCAATCTCTCATTCCCCCAATTTCTCATTCCCCCAATCTCTCATTCTCCCAATCTCTCATTCCCCCAATCTCTCATTCCCCCAATCTCTCATTCCCCCAATCTCTCATTCCCCCAATCCCTCATTCCCCCAATCCCTCATTCCCCCAATCTCTCATTCCCCCAATCTCTCATTCCCCCAATCTCTCATTCCCCCAATCTCTCATTCCCCCAATCTCTCATTCCCCCAATCTCTCATTCCCCCAATCTCTCATTCCCCCAATCTCTCATTCTCCCAATCTCTCATTCCCCCAATCTCTCATTCCCCCAATCTCTCATTCCCCCAATCTCTCATTCCCCCAATCTCTCATTCCCCCAATCTCTCATTCCCCCAATCTCTCATTCCCCCAATCTCTCATTCCCCCAATCTCTCATTCCCCCAATCTCTCATTCCCCCAATTTCTCATTCCCCCAATCTCTCATTCTCCCAATCTCTCATTCCCCCAATTTCTCATTCCCCCAATCTCTCATTCTCCCAATCTCTCATTCCCCCAATCTCTCATTCCCCCAATCTCTCATTCCCCCAATCTCTCATTCCCCCAATCCCTCATTCCCCCAATCCCTCATTCCCCCAATCTCTCATTCCCCCAATCTCTCATTCCCCCAATCTCTCATTCCCCCAATCTCTCATTCCCCCAATCTCTCATTCCCCCAATCTCTCATTCCCCCAATCTCTCATTCCCCCAATCTCTCATTCTCCCAATCTCTCATTCCCCCAATCTCTCATTCCCCCAATCTCTCATTCCCCCAATCTCTCATTCCCCCAATCTCTCATTCCCCCAATCTCTCATTCCCCCAATCTCTCATTCTCCCAATCTCTCATTCCCCAATCTCTCATTCCCCCAATCTCTCATTCCCCCAATCTCTCATTCCCCCAATCTCTCATTCCCCCAATCTCTCATTCCCCCAATCTCTCATTCCCCCAATCTCTCATTCCCCCAATCTCTCATTCCCCCAATCTCTCATTCCCCCAATTTCTCATTCCCCCAATCTCTCATTCTCCCAATCTCTCATTCCCCCAATCTCTCATTCCCCCAATCTCTCATTCCCCCAATCTCTCATTCCCCCAATCCCTCATTCCCCCAATCCCTCATTCCCCCAATCTCTCATTCCCCCAATCTCTCATTCCCCCAATCTCTCATTCCCCCAATCTCTCATTCCCCCAATCTCTCATTCCCCCAATCTCTCATTCCCCCAATCTCTCATTCCCCCAATCTCTCATTCCCCCAATCTCTCATTCCCCCAATCTCTCATTCCCCCAATCTCTCATTCCCCCAATCTCTCATTCCCCCAATCTCTCATTCCCCCAATCTCTCATTCCCCCAATCTCTCATTCCCCCAATCTCTCATTCTCCCAATCTCTCATTCTCCCAATCTCTCATTCCCCCAATCTCTCATTCCCCCAATCTCTCATTCCCCCAATCTCTCCTTCACCCCCCTCTCCATCCCCCAGTGGCAGCAGCAGAGGCGATGGCGCAGCCGGTGGGGGCATTCGAGTCCACGTGTGGGGCAGCTGGACGGGGAAGCGAGGAGGCACTTGTGATTCCCAGAACCTCATTCTCTCCTCTCTTATCCACAACCCCCCCCCCCTCATCCTGCAGTGGCAGCAGCAGAGGCGATGGCGCAGCAGGTGGGGGCGTTCGAGTCCACGTGTGGGGCAGCAGGGCGGGGAAGCGAGGAGGCGGTTAGGGTGGCCATTCAACAGCTGATGGAGTGAGTATGAGTGCTGCTGCTGCTTCTGCTGCTGCACTGCTGCTGCTTTCCCCCTCCCACTCCTTTCCCCCCTCCCATTCCATTGCCCCCTCCCATTCCCTTTCCCCCTCCCACTCCCTTTCCTCCTCTCACTCCCTTTCCCCCCTCCCATTCCCTTGCCCCCTCCCATTCCCTTTCCCCCTCCCACTCCCTTTCCTCCTCTCACTCCCTTTCCCCCTCCCATTCCCTTTCCCCTTCCCACTCCCTTTCGGCCTCTCACTCCCTTTCCCCCTCCCACTTCCTTTCCCCTCTCTCACTCCCTTTCCCCCTCCCATTCCCTTTCCCCCTCCCACTCCCTTTCCGCCTCTCACTCCCTTTCCCCCTCCCACTTCCTTTCCCCCCTCTCACTCCCATTCCCCCTCCCACTTCCTTTCCCCCCTCTCACTCCCATTCCCCCTCCCATTCCCTTTCCCCCTCCTAATTCCTTTCCGCCTCCCACACCCTTTCCCCCTCCCACTCCCTTTCCCCCCTCCCACTTCCTTTCCGCCCCCCACTCCCTTTTCCCCTCAAACTCCCTTTCCCCCTCCCACTCCCTTTCCCCCCTCTCACTCCCTTTTCCCCTCCCACTCCCTTTCCCCCTCTCACTCACTTGCCCCCTCCCTCCTGCAGGGTCGTCGCCAATCAAGGCCTCACACTCCATAGGCTTTCCGCTACAGCTGCTACAGCTGCTCCCGCTGCTACAGCCCCTACAGCCGCTACAGCCGCTACAGGCGGGGAGGAGGAGCAGTGGGAAGATCCCTTGGTGTTGGCCGTGGGAGGGGTGGTGGGAGCAGCGGCTGCGGCACTTAAGACCTGGCTAAGTGTCGTTGTGGAGGGGAGGAAGGGAGGAGTGGGAGGAGGTGGAGGTGCGGGGAAGGTGGCAACTGGTGCAGGTGCATCTGGTGGGCATGTACTGTTGCAGCCGCCCAAGGCTGCTCTAGCTGTAAGTATTTGGTTTTGTGATATTTTGCCTTTTTTCTCTCTTTGTGTGAGTCTTGGCCTCTCTGTCTGTGTGAGACGGTGTCTGTGTGTGTGAGACGGTGTCTGTGTAAGACGGTGTCTGTGTGAGACGGTGTCTGTGTGAGACGGTGTCTGTGTGTGTGAGACGGTGTCTGTGTGAGACGGTGTCTGTGTGAGACGGTGTCTGTGTGAGACGGTGTCTGTGTGAGACGGTGTCTGTGTGTGTGAGACGGTGTCTGTGTGAGACGGTGTCTGTGTGAGACGGTGTCTGTGTGAGACGGTGTCTGTGTGAGACGGTGTCTGTGTGAGACGGTGTCTGTGTGAGACGGTGTCTGTGTGAGACGGTGTCTGTGTGAGACGGTGTCTGTGTGAGTACCCGCATGTGAGGTGCCTCGAAAGCTGGTTACCATGCCATGCCATCTCACTTTCACACCCATTTCTCTGTACCCCTTATAAACACATGTCGAGTTGACCTCTTCCATTCCCTCCCTTCCGATCCCACTGCTTCTCAGCAATTCCCTCTTGATTACTTTCCAGGATTTAAGGGAGGCTCGTGATGTGCTGGACGTGTGGCGGCATGAGCTAGTTGCAATACCGTGCCGTACCACGCCATACCATCTCACATCCCTCCCTCCTACACCCACTTGTTCGCTGCCACTTTCCCTCCGCAGGATTTAAGGGAGGCCCGCGATGTGCTGGACGTGTGGCGGCATGAGCTGGCACGGCTGCACTCGCGCCTAGTCAGCGTCGTCTGCCGCTCCCAGCTGACGTCAGCACACGGCAGCATGACCTGGCAACCGGCATCGCCAGCTCAGCTCCCAGGCCAGGGCCACACGATGGCCCCTGCTGACGTGGCAATGGCGTCTGCTTGCGCTTTCCTGGACCAAGCGATAGACATTCGGCAGCAGGTGAGATTTTTCGGGCGGCAGGGTTGATTCTCCGGCCGGCAGGGTAGATTCTGGAAGTGTCTGGGAGGTGATACTGAAAATTTTGGCTTGTGCCTGTTGCCGTTATCAGTTTCTTTTTGTCCTCTTTTCCATCCCTGCAGCACGAGGGGTGGGAGGAGGCGATGACAGCAGCTGCGCTGGTGTGCACACTGTGAGAGGCTTGCACTTCCTCCTACTGTTGACCATCAACCTCAGTGTCCTCCTGTCTCCTCTGCCCTTTGATGCTTCCGCATTCCTCCCTGCAGCACGAGGGGTGGGAGGAGGCGATGACAGCAGCTACTCTGGTGTGCGACGTGGAAGCTTCCTCAGGCATCAGCAACACCGGTGGTGCTGACGTGGACAGGTGGAGGCGCTTCCTGGAGCCACTCACAGATAGCCACGTGGCAGACATTCTCGAAGGTGCGGAACATACGCAGGGGTTTACTGCTGATAGCCTCCTCTCAGCCCTCGTGAAAGCCTGTGGGAGCCTCTTCTGGTGTGGCTCCCTTCCTCCCTCCATCCCATTTCTCTCTACCTCGTCCGTTCCCTCTCAACGTCTTCCAACCGCTTCCCCCACCCTCCCCTCCCCCTCTCTCCCCGCTCACACACAGGCGACCTTGCCAGCTGGCGGGCGGCGCAGGGCATCTACTGGGCGGCAGTGGCTGCCGAGGAGGAGGCACTGGCGGGGCTGCTGCAGGCGCGACTGGGGGAGGTGCCATCCGCCATGGGGCGGCTGCAGCTGCTGGCGCAGTGCTCGTCCTTCACTGCGCTACCCAGGGTATGATTTCAGAAGGCTTAGGATTTAGAGTGACTTTTGAGTTGACTCGTTAGGCATGGAGGGCATCTGCTATGGGCCAACTGGGGGAGGTGCCATCTGCCATGGGCCGACTGGGGGAGGTGCCATCCGTCATGGGCCGACTGGGGGAGGTGCCATCCGCCATGGGGCGGCTGCAGCTGCTGGCGCAATGCTCCTCTTTTGCTGCTCTGCCCAGGGTACGGCCCAAGAGGGCTTCTGTGCCTGAGATTGAAAAAGAGGAAAAAATAGAGGGAAAAAAAGAGGATATTGTTATCGAATTAAAGAGGCTATATCATATTGCCTTTTGAAGCTAACTGTGAGATTGCTCTTATCGAGGAAGGATGCTCCCTCTCTCCCTCGCCCCTCGTCTCTTCCACGCCAAACCGTCGTATCTGCCTTCCTCTGTGTCTCCCTCTCTCTCTCTTCCTTTCGTTCCCACCATGGCAGGTGTCAGCACGCCTGCAGCATGACTTGCAGCAGATGCTGCACGAGGTGGCAGCAGGTACGCGACAATATCAAAGTCTTTTAGATGTGCTGCTGCTTCTTTCTGTTATTGGCCTGCGGTTTGAAATCGTTCAGATGTTGCACCGCTCCTCTCTAATGGTCCTTATATTGCTTTCCCTTTCATAAGTCGACTCAAAAGGCCTTGATATCGTTTAGATGTTGCACCACTCCTCTCTCGCTCCCCTTTCGTGTCTTGCTTGCCATCATCCATTCCTTTCCCCCCGTTTCCTTTCCCCCCGTTTCCCTTCCCTCCGTTTCCCTTCCCCCCGTTTTCCTTCCCCCCTTTTCCCTTCCCTCCGTTTCCCTTCCCCCCGTTTCCCTTACCCCCGTTTCCTTTCCCCCCAATTGTTCTTCCCCCCGTTTCCTTTCCCCCCGTTTCCCTTCCCTTCGTTTCCCTTCCCCCCGTTTCCCTTCCCTTCGTTTCCCTTCCCCCCGTTCCCCTTCCCCCCGTTTCCCATCCCCCGTTTCCCATCCCCCCCGTTTCCCAACCCCCCTTTGCTATTTTTCATCTTCTTTCCCCCCGCGCTGTCTCCTCTCGCCAGACGTGCGAGCATTGGAGGAGCAGCTATGGCACCCAACCTCAGCCTGCCACGTGTCCTCTCTCGCCCAGCTCAGGGGCGTGCCACGTGTCGCCGCCTCAGTGGCTCGCGCCAAGGCCATTCACGGGAAGCTGAGGGCGCTAGACGCAGCCCTGCACGCTCTGCTGGGTGACAGCTGGCGCAGCGGGATTGGCCGGGCGGGAAGGGGAGGGAGCAGGAGGGGGAGGGGGGCAGGGGGGGCGGTGGGGATGGGTGGAGATGGGGAGGGAGGGGTTGAGTGTGGTGGGGCAGGGTGGGGAGCGGTGACGGACGGTGGGCTGCGGAGGTCGATTGCTCGGCTGCTGGAGGAGGCGTTGCAGCAGACGGACCCTCAGAAGGTGCGTGTTTGTGTGTGAAGAGATAACTCCCGCTACTGGCAACACCAACCCCACCATGTGCAGAAGCGTGAGTGCGGAGGAGGCAGAGGAGGCCCTAAGAGGCCCTGTGCTCGCCCCCTGCTCGTCCTGCCCGTTCCTAACGAGTGTCTCCCTCTCTCTTCTCCCATCCACCCATCCACTCTCCATTTCAGACTGTCAACCAGTGGCTGCAAGAAAAGCTCTCTCCCACCACCAGCAACAACTGCAGCATGAGTGCGGAGGAGGCAGAGGAGGCCCTACGAGACCCTGTGCTCGCCCCCTGCTCGTCCCGCCCTAACGAATGTTTCCCTCTCTCCCCTGAATCCATCCACTCTCCCTTCCAGACCGTCAACCAGTGGCTGCAAGAAAAGCTCGCTCCCCACACTGGCAGCACCAGCAGCAGCAGCAGCATGAGCGCGGAGGAGGCAGAGGAGGCTCTCAGAGGCCCTGTGCTCACCTCCTGCTCGTCCCGCCCGCCCCTGGCTGACGTCAGCAACAGCAGCGCGGCTACAGCCGGGGAGGAGGAGCAGGCGGAGCCGCTGCTACAGCTGCAGGTGAGGGGGAGAGACAATGAAGGGTGGAAGGTTAGGGGTGGAAGGTTAGGGGTGGAAGGTTAGGGGTGGGACACTGGCAGGACGGGGAGATGAGGCACAGACGACTTGTGTATGGGGAGGAGGGGCAGGCGGAGCCGCTGCTACAGCTGCAGGTGAGGGGTGGAAGGTTAGGGGTGGGACACTGGCAGGTGAGGGGTGGAAGGTTAGGGGTGGGACACTGGCAGGTGAGGGGTGGAAGGTTAGGGGTGGGACACTGGCAGGTGAGGGGCGGAAGGTTAGGGGTGCGACACTGGCAGATGAGGGGCGGAAGGTTAGGGGTGGGACACTGGCAGGTGAGGGGCGGAAGGTTAGCTGTAGCAGGTGAGGTTAGAGAGATTTTTAAAGTGATTTCAACATAGCAGGTAGAGCCGCTGCTACAGCTGCAGGTGAGGGTGAGAGACGAGGGGAGAGGTGCGCTCTCTTATTCGCCCTCTGATCCCCTCCCGCCCCCCGTTTCCCCTGTGAAACCCTAATCCGTGCTGCCTCTCTCGCCCCACCAGGTGCAGTACAAGGCGAGCCTTCTTCACCAGAGCCAGGAGGTCCGTCCGCCTCCTCCGCCCCCACCATCTCCCCCCCTGCCCCTCTGCCCCTTACTGACCCCCTGCCCTCTGCCCCTTGCCCCTCTGCCCTGCCTGTGTGCTCCCTATGAAGCCATACTCCATGCCACCTCTCCCCCCACCAGGTGCAGTACAAGGCGAGCCTTCTCCATCTAAGTGAAGAAGTCCGCACCCTTCGAGCATCCGGCTTCCACATCCCCCTCTCCGCCTCTGCCCTCTCCGCCTCCTCCATCTCAAGAGCGCTCGAGAGCTTTGCTCCTCCTCTCCGCTCTCCCCCTTCCCGACCCCCTTCCCTCCGCCCCTCTGCCCTGCCTGCCTGCTCCCTCTGCCCCTATCCTTCCCCTACAGGTGCAGTACAAGACAAGCCTCCTTCACTTGAGCGAGGAGGTCCGCCTCCTAAAAGCCTCAGGCTTCCACATCCCCCACCACCTCCTCTCTGCTCGTCTTCCCCTCCCCTATCCTCCGTCCCCACCTCCCCCCCCCCCCTCATGAAACAGGTGCAGTACAAGGCAAGACTCCTCCATCTTGAGTGAAGAAGTCCGCACCCTTCGGGCATCAGGCTTCCACATCCCGCACCACCTGCTCGCCTGCGCCCTCTCCGCCTCTGCTGCCGCCTCCTCCGCATCCACCATCTCCCCTCCTGCCCCTCTGCCCATCCCTGAACCCCTGCCCTCTGCACCTTGCCCTCTGCCCTGCCTGTCTGCTCCCTATGCCACCTCTCCCCCCACCAGGTGCAGTACAAGACAAGCCTCCTGCATCTAAGCGAGGAGGTGCGCACCCTTCGAGCATCCGGCTTCCACATCCCCCACCACCTGCTCGCCTGCGCCCTCTCCGCCTCTGCCGCCGCCTCCTCCGCCTCCACCATCTCACGAGCGCTCGAGAGCTTCGCTGATGTCAGCGCTGGCGTCAGCAAGGGCGTGCTGCCGCTGGTGGCGGCTTCGCGAGAAGCGGTGCTGGGGTTAATGCAGAGCGGTGAGTCGGCACAAGCGGTGCTGGGGTTAATGCAGAGCGGTGAGTCGGCACAAGCGGTGCTGGGGTTAATGCAGAGCGGTGAGTCGGCACAAGCGGTGCTGGGGTTAATGCAGAGCGGTGAGTCGGCACGCGGGTAAGGAAGCAATGGTGGGGGTACTGCAGTCTAGTGAGTGGGTGATGCAGTCCGGAAGCAAAAGCGTGCTGCCGCTGGTGGCGACGACAAGGAAAGCGATGCTGGGGATAATGCAGAGCGGTGAGACTTGATTGTAGAGCAGTAAGGGGGGGTTGGGGATAATGCAGAGCGGTGAGTCATTGCTGCGGAGTGGTAAGGGTGGATTGGGGATCATGCAGCAAGGGGTGGTTGGGGATAATGCAGAGCGGTAAGTGGTGGTTGGGGATAGTACAAAGCGGCGAGTCATAATTTAAAGGTGTCGGTAGGGAAGAGGGACGGTGGAAGATATATTTAGTCCCTCTGGTGAGGAAGAAATAAAAATAGAGAATGGGTTGTGGTGTAGGAAGAGGAAGAGGAGGACGAGCTTGCAGTGTGCCTGTGGGGTGCCGTCGTGCCGAGGAGGGAACTGGGTGTGTGTTTGAGTCAGCCACCCATCTCAACCACTCCGTTGTCCCCTGACTTCCCCTCATGTTCCCCCTTGCTTTCCCCCATTTCACCTCACCATTGCCCACCGTTGCAGGTCAGGGAGTGGTGTGGGAGGAGGAGGACGAGGAGGACGAGTTGCAGTGTGCCTGTGGGATGCAGAGGAGGGAACTTAGTGTTTGAGCCTGTTACCCATCTCAACCACTCCGTTGTCCTCTGGCTTCCCTTCATGGTCCCTCTTGCTCCACCCAATCCCCCTCTCTGCAGGCCAGGGCGTGGTGTGGGAGGAGGAGGACGAGTTTGCAGTGTGCCTGTGGGATGGAATGGAGGGAGCTTGGTGTGTCTGAGCCAGCCACCCATTTTAACCACTCCTTTGTTTTGTCCCCTTGCTTCATCCACCCCCTCCCCCAAATTCTCCACTCGAGGCCAGGGAGTGGTGTGGGAGGAGGAGGACGAGGTGGATGAGTTCGCAGCGTGCCTGTGGGATGCAGAAAAGGGAGCTTGGTGTGACTGAGTCAAACCGAGAACTCACCCTTTCCCAACCTCTTTCGCTTCCCCAACCGTTCCTCCTGTGTCCCTGGCTTCCCATTCTGAACTCGCTGCAGGCCAGGGAGTGGTGTGGGAGGAGGAGGACGAGGTGGATGAGTTTGCAGTGTGCCTGTGGGATGCCGTGGAGGCGTTTTCATCTGCAGCTGCTGCGGCCAAAGAGAGGCATGAGGCGGCATGGCAGTGCCTTGAGCGGATTCGTTCCTGTGCCTATAAGGTGAGTGTGTGTGTTTGCCGGTGGTTGGATTGGAGGGTGTGTGCTTGTAAGGCGTGTGCCTGTGGGATGCAGTGGAGGCGTTTTCAGCCGCTGCTGCCACCGCCAAGGAGAGGCACGAGGCGGCGTGGCAGTGCCTTGAGCGTGTCAGATCGTGTGCCTATAAGGTGAGTGTATGCTTGTAAGGCGTGTGCCTGTGGGATGCAGTAGAGGCGTTTCCAGCCGCTGCTGCTGCGGCCAAGGAGAGGCACGAGGCGGCGTGGCAGTGCCTTGAGCACGTCCGATCGTGCTCCTACAAGGTGTGTGCCGGTGGTTAGAGTGGAGGGTGCGTCCTTGCAATGCAATGAGGCGTTTTCAGTTGCTTCCACTATGGTCAAGGAGAGGCATGAGGCAGCAGAATGGTGGAATGTCCAATGCACCTTGGACTCGACTGCTGCTTAGAAAAAATCATTCTTTCCTTATCGATTTTGTTTGTTTGTGCCCTTTTCTCCATCTGCCTTTCCATCCCCTCTCGCCGGATCAGGACTTGCCAAATCATCTCCGCCAGCTGGCGCATGCAGTGATCGCAGCGATCTCCCGGCCGCCTTACCCAGCTGCCATGTCAGCTGCCACGTCAGCAGAGTGGCAGCGTGAGGTGGCTGCCACGTGGGCAGCCCCGCTGCTGATGCAAGCACAGGCGGCTCTGCAGCAGAAGCTGACGTCAGCGCTCTGCTGCTGGCTGAAGAAATGGAAGGACGTGATTGGAGGAGATTCTCCTGCTGCTACAGCCGCCACAGGTGCCAAAGCTGCAACAGCTTCTGCTGCTGTTGCGGTGGCTGCTAGGGTTAATGAGGCTTCTAAGGGATCTCCTGAGCGTGTTGGTGGTCTGCAGGTGGTGGTGAGAGAGATTGAGGCTGTGCTTTCACTGCACAAGCCATCTGGTGTAGGGAAGGAACGTGCAGGTGGAGGAGCAGACTCAGCAGGGGCAGCAGGGGCGGCAGGGGCGGCAGGGGTAGTGTTAGGGGACTTGAAGGGGGAAGATGGGAGTGAGACTGAGTCGTTTGTGTTGCAGCTGCTGCAGGAGCAGATGGGGATGCTGACGCACCGAGTGGCTGTGAGGGAGTCAGGCGCAGGGGCGGTGAGAGTGGAAGGAGGAGGAGCGAGTGGCAGGATGGAGGTGGAGGTACAGCCTCCTCTTTCTGAGTCTCAGCAGCGGCTGCAGGACTGTGTTCAGCTGCTGCTCGCTCCCGCTCTCTCTGCTGCTGCAGAGGCCAATAGCGTCCTCTCCTCCGCCTCTGCGGCTTTCTTGCTCCCTCCCACTCCCTCGAATGGTCCCTCTGCTGCTGCTGAAGCCAGCAGCATGCACTCATCCGCCTCTGCTGCCCTGCATCCCATGGCTGCTGGTAACTTCAGTGACGTCAGCAGCAGCGACAGCATGGGTAGCTATCACAGCACTGCAAGGGGCGGGGCTAGTGTGGGCAGTCTGTTAGTAGTGAGCTGTGTGGTTCCGGCTCGGCTGGAGGCGTGTGCGTATGGGGTGGTGGATGCAGTGGTTGGGGCGGCTGAGGGGTGGGTGGGCGAGTGGAGGGTGAGAGTGGCACAGGCGGAAGGGAAGTTGGAGAGATGCGCCCGTGCTGCTGCTGCTGCTGTAGCTGCTGCTGCTGCTGCTGCCCCAGCTGCTGTTAGCGAAAGTTCCAACACCTCCCTTCCCCCGCCTTCGACTGAACTCTGGCGTTCCCTTATGAACGAAATTCAGCAGGTTCGGAACCAGCTGGCTGCCAAACCTGCAGTGGTTAGGTTCGGCACAGCTGACCGAACCTCGCTCTTAGCCTTGGACGCAGGCTCGGTGAGGGAGGCACTGGTGGGTCGGTGTGAGGCTTGGATTCGGGCGGCTGAGGAGGATATAGAAGGCAGGGCGGTTCGGGGTTGTAGAGAGGCGATTAAAGAGGTATCTGAGCTGAAGAAACTATTGGAGTTGATTAAGAGGGAGGCAGAGGGGGAACTTATGAGTAGAGATAGGGAACAGAGGCTCGGGCGAGTGAGAGAGGGAGAGGAGGGTGAGGAGGGGGAGCAGGGAGAGGAGGAACAGGAGGGAGAGAAGGGAGCGGAGAACAAGGCAGCTATGGGTAATGGTGGTGCTGATAAGGGTGAAGGATTGAGTGGGGATGTGCGGAGGCTGATAGAGCATCTTGAGAGAGTGAGGGAGGCGGAGAGGAGGGTAGGAGAGGTGAATGATGGAGTGGAGAAACTCAGGCCGTTAGTAGAGGCGGCTGTTTCTAAGGGAGGGGGAAGTGGCAAGGGGAAAAGGAGCACTAGCAGCAGCAGCAGCGGTGGTAGGAGCAGTAGTGCCGGGGTTGGGATGGCGCTGGTACAGGCAAGCTGGAAAGAGCTGGAGAAGGAGTGGGGAGAATTGGAATGGGCAAGAAAGGCTGTATTGGGAGGGAGAAAGGCAGGAGCAGAAGCAGCACGAAAGGGAGTAGAAGCTGCAGCAGGAGAATCCCCCAGCGGGATAGTTTTCCTCCAGGGGCTTGTGAGCGTGCAGGTGTTGAGTGCGGTGCAGATGCATGTGGGGGAGGTGGGGAGTCGTATGGAGGAGCTTGAGACGTGGTGGGACGCTGCTGCTCCTACCAGTGTGGATTGCTCTAGAGGCAGGGCTGCTGGGGCGCTGGTGCAGTGCGCACGCTTAGTGGGGCAGCTTAAAACGAGGATAGAGCTCATGAGGAGGGCGATTGGGCTGGTGGGAGGGGCGGGCGGGGAGGAGGAGGAGGAGGAGGAGGAGGAGGAGGTGGGGAGAGTGGAGGGGAGGTTAGAGAGGGTGGTTGCAGAGGGGGAGGAGATGCAGCGTATGTGGCTGTTGATTAATCATCTTTTGGATGTTATTGCCTCTGTGGAGAGGATTAGGGTTGCGGATTTCAACCCTGAATCGGACTTAACCCCTCTGCACTCCGCCTTAAGCGACGTGAACCAGGAGGAGGAGGTATTCGGGCAGCACGGTGCGTTCCGGGCAGTTCAATCGGCTGCCCGGAAACTAATTGCGAGCCTAGGTCTGGTGTCGAAGCTAGTTAAAGCCTCGCTGCAAGAGGCCCATTGGAGAGCCCTCGCCCGAGCGTTGGGGTTCCAAGCCAAGGGCGGGCTCGGCGCCGGAGGTACCCTGCAGGTTCGGGATCTGGTTCGGGCGCTGGGAGGCTTGGAGGGGCGGGCGGCAGCGGAGCAGGTGTTATCTGCCGTCCAGGGGGAGGTGGCATTGAGACAGTTTATGGATAAGGTTGAAAAGGAGTGGGGCGAGCAGGAGTGGGCTTTTAAGGGGTTTAGAGACAAGTGGAAAATCGTGGGGAATTTGGGGGTGGTTGGGGAAATGGTGCTAGAGCATTTGAGTATGCTTGGAGCAATGAAGCAGTCTCCCTTCTTCCCTCCGTTTAGAGAGGCTGTGAGGGAGTGGGAGGGGCGGCTGGGGCGGCTGAGTGAGCTGGTGGATGCACTAGCAGACGCGCAGTCCAAGTGGGTCCGTTTGGAAGCACTCATGACGTCACCCGCCGTCCGATCGATGCTACCCGACACGCACCGCGCCTTCCACGAAGCTTCCCTCCCGTTCACGGAGTTCCTGGGATCGCTCGCCGCCCGCCCTCTCGCGATCGACCTGGAGGGACTTGCGGAAGAGGACGACGGAGCCGGGCGGCAGGTTTTGGCGGTTTGTGAGGAGGTGTTTGGGCGGGTGCTTTTGGAGGTTCAGGCACATCTGGACAAGCAGAGGCGGATGCTGCCAAGGCTGTACTTCCTGGGGGATGACGATCTGCTGCAGCTCATCTCTGCTTCGCCCTCTGATTTATCTGCGGTATGTTTCTGTGTGGGCACGAAAATATGTGTACGTGTATGTGTGTGTGATCTGGTGTATGTCAAGTGAGTGTGCGAGTTGCCGCATCTGGACAATCTGGACAAGCAGAGGCGGATGCTCCCAAGGCTGTACTTTCTGGGGGATGATGATTTGCTGCAGCTCATGTCTGCTTCACCCTCTAATCTCTCTGCTGTACGTATAAGTGTGCGGTTTCACGTATATGTGTATGTGTATGTGTGTATGTGTGTATGTGTGTATGATACTTCTGTGTGTGCGGATGCTGCCAAGGCTGTACTTTCTGGGGGATGATGATCTGCTGCAGCTCATATCTGCATCGCCCTCAGATCTCTCCGCTGTGATTTTGAGTTAAAATTCTGATGTGAATGATGAGTGGTGCGAGAGGCTGTACTTTCTGGGGGATGATGATCTGCTGCAGCTCAATATGCATCGCCCTCTGATCGCTCTGCGGTATGCTCTGGCGCGTGTTTTTTTTTTTTATTCTCAAAAAACACACGCTCTGCGGTGTATGCTCTGGTTAAGTATGAGTATGTGCATATTGGAACGGTTGTGCTTTCTAGGGGATGATGATCCGTGCGCCCCCCCATCCTCCCTCCACTCCCCCTTCCCCCTTTCTAGGGGCCTGACCTTTCCCCCTTCCCCCTGGTCACCCCTTTCAGGTGCATGTGCACATTCGCAAGCTCTTCACAGCAGTCTCACTGCCCCCCTCCCATCCTCATTCTACTCCCTCTTTTCCCCTCTCTCCCCTCCCCCCGTCAGGTGCACGTGCACATTCGCAAGCTTTTCACCGCAGTCTCGGGCATTGAAGTATCGGCAGTCTCTGATACCATTTTGCCAGAAAAGAGTACAGCAGAGGATGTAGTGAAGTTTGCACCTTCAGGGGACGCAGGGAAGAGAGTATTTATCATGGCAGCTCTTTCCGACGGGGAGCGGCTCGTGCTGCACCAACCAGTGGAGCTTGCGGAAGGTGCTGCCACGTCAGCGAGTGCCACGTCAGCGAGTGCCACGTCAGCGGATGCCACGTCAGCGGGTGCCACGTCAGCGGAAGGACAGAAGCCAGCAGGAGCCACCAAGTGGCTGCTGGATCTCGACATGGCGCTGCGGACGACTCTGAGCGACCTGGTTGTGTCAGCGGTCGCTGAGCTGGCGGCGTGTGATTGGCTGTCGACTGCTGCGGCTGGGAAGAGGGAGAAGAGCAAATGCAGCGGGAAGGAGGGAAGTGGTGGCGGAGTGAGGAGGAGTGGAGTGAGGATGGGCGGTAGCAGCAGGAGGAATGGAGGAAGGTTCCTCGAGTGGCTGGGGAAGCTGCCTTTGCAGCCGGCGCTGCTAGCTCTTCAAGTGAGGTGGACGGTTCTGGTTGAAGGGATTTTGGCAGGCGGGGAAGGGGAGGTAGATGAGCAAGGGGTGCAAGTGAGGGGTGGAAAGGAAGCAGGGCTGGAGTCGCTGGTGGTGGGGCTGGAGGGGCTTCTGCAGTGGCTGGCACGTGCCGTGAGGGAGCGGAGAGAGCTGGCTAGGAGCGCAGCGGGGGCAAGAGGAGGAGGAGCAGGCAGAGCAGCAGGGGGAGCAGGGGGAGTAGGAGAGGGGGCAGGTGGCGAGGAGGGGAGGTTGATGGAGGCCAAGTGTGAGGCTGTGATCACAGTGCTGGTTCACCTGCTGGAGAGCAGTAAGGCGCTGCTGGTGGAGCAGAGGGAGGAGCAGGCACGGGCAGAGAAGGAGGAGGAGGAGGATAAGGAGAATATGGGGTGTGCAGGGCTTCAGCAGAAGCAGAAGCAGAAGCGGAAGGAGAAGAAGCAACACGGGCTCTCCCTCTCCTCCTTTGCCTGGCGAAAATGCCTCCGATACTACCTCGACCCGTCCCTCCCTCCCCTCCACCGCCTCTCTGTTCAAATCGCAGACGCCTCTTTCACCTACGGGTTTGAATACTCTGGCTGCACTCCCTCCCTCGTCCGCACCTCGCTCACTGACCGCTGCTTCCTCGCACTTTCCCAAGCGCTCTGGCACGGGCAGGGCAGCGCTCTGATTGGTCCAGCTGGCACGGGGAAGACGGAGACGGTCAAGGCGCTCGGGCGGCAGCTCGGGCGGCCGGTTTTGGCGTTATCCTGTGATAGGAGTTTTGATAGCGCGGCGGTGGGGCGGGTTTTGGAGGGAGTGGCGAGGCTGGGCGCGTGGGGGTGCATGGACGAGTTCAACCGGTTGGACGAGAGTACAATGTCTGCGATTTCGCAACATCTGGTGGCGATTCAGGGCGCGCTGAGGGAGGGACGGAGAGAGGCCGTGCTGGCTGGGACTGCCGTGCCCGTGCACCCTGCCACTGGTGAGTGGGCGTGGGTGGGTGTGTGTGTGTGTGCACCCTGCTACTGGTGAGTGGGTGTCGGGGGATGGGGGAAACAGGGTCGGGGTGCATGGATGAGTTCAACAGGTTGGACGAGAGTACAATGTCTGCGATCTCGCAGCACCTGGTGGCGATTCAGGGCGCGCTGAGGGAGGGAAGGAGAGAGGCCGTGCTGGCTGGGACTGCTGTGCCCGCAGCCATATGATTAGGCGAGCAGCAGTCTAAAAGAATTCTTTAGCAGAGGATTAACAGTACGATCTGTTGTAGTTCCTGCTAAAAACAAGGAGTTTCAAGAAATCCGACTCAAAATTCCACTAAAAGATTAAAACGAGGCAAACTAGTTTCGGGTGACGGGACAGGCCCCAATCACACCTTCATCAGTGCAAGTGGAAATGAAAGAGAATGAGGAAGACGAAGCATTTGAGCAAACACTGCGTCTCGAAAAACAAAACTCCAGGTCGTTGCAACCGTGGCCAGAAATCTGGTTGGCCAATCCCTGACGACCTAGAAAAGTCCAAGTCTTCAGGGTCTTCATTCCTCGTGGCGTAACGTTGAAACAGCACAATCCGCCAGCTGGTGCTCAGGGAGCCTCGCGTGAACCAGTAACCTTTGCAGGTTACAACCAGTTTTCCAAGCAACAAAACAACCCTCTATATAAAATCCGCGTGTAAGTAGACGACTTTTGAGACGTCCCAAAAGCTGGGACTGCTGTGCCCGTGCACCCTGCCACTGGTGAGTGGGCAGATGTTCTACTGCTGTTGTGTGTGGACTGCTGTGTGTGCTCTGTGAGACTGTGGCGATTTGGACTCATCCTTCCACTTTACCCCATTCCCTTACTCGCCCGCGCCTTTTCGACTCCCTCCCAGGCATATTCGTGACGCTCAACCCGCGCTATGCAGGCAGGGACCATGCGCTTTCCGTCACTAACCCATACGCACCATTCTCCACCCCCTACCTTCATCTCCCTCCCAGGCATATTCGTGACGCTCAACCCGCGCTATGCAGGCAGGGACCATCTGCCTGAGAGCCTGTCCGCCCTCCTGCGTCCTCTGACAGTCGCCGTCCCTGATGCATGCGCCATCGCCCATGTGACTCTGCTGTCGTGTGGGTTCTCGCATGCTGAGAGGCTGGCTGACGCTGCCACCCGCATATTCCAGGTATGGCTCGTGTGGGTGTGTGCATACACATGTACAAGCACAGGAATGCACAGAAAGTGAACATCCCTGGTGCATGCGCCATCGCCCGTGTGACTCTGCTGTCGTGTGGATTCTCGCACGCTGCAAGGCTAGCTGATTCTGCCACTCGAATCTTCCAGGTGTGTGTGAATGCACAAGTACACGCACTCTGACAAGCACATGAACGCACACATACATTCAGAGTCTCCCTCTTGTGGTGCTTGCGCCATCACCCATGTGACTCCGCGGTCGTGTGGGTTTCTACAGGCAGAGAGGCTAGCTGATGCTGCAACTCGAATCTTCCAGGTATAGTTTGTGCCTTGATGCAGTGGCAGACGCACAGGCATGCATGTATCACAAAACACATGCGTACATTGACAGTCTTTGACAGTCTCTCGCCATCGCCCGTGTGACTCTGCTGTCATGCGGATTCTCGCATGCTCAGAGGCTGGCTGATGCTGCCACTCGCATCCTCCAGGTATGGCTGGTGCTGGTGCTGGTGCTGGTGCTGGTGCTGGTGCTGGTGCTGGTGCTGGTGGTTGTGTGTCCATGCTTCGCCCCCATTTCCTTCCTCCTGGACCCCCAGCCTCAGTACGACTTCAGTCTGAGAGCGCTCAAAGCAGCTTTCAAACCGGCTAGGTCCGCCATGCCTGCTCTCTCATTCCCTCATTTCCTTCCTTCCTCTTCATCCCTTTTGTCCACCTTGCCCCGCAGGAGTCCGAGGAATGCCTGAACCCCCAGCCCCAGTACGATTTCAGTCTGAGAGCGCTCAAAGCAGCTCTTCCGTGGTGCTTGCTCCCTCACACCCTCCCTCCCTTCCCCCTTCCTCCCCCCTTTTGTTTCCCTGCCCTCACCTTACCGCCCTCAGGAGTCAGAACAGTGCTTAGACCCCCAGCCTCAGTACGATTTCAGCCTGAGGGCGCTGAAAGCAGCTCTGAAATCTGCTAGGTCCGTTATGCTGGTGCAGACGGAATTGGAGGGGGGTGCGAGTGAGAATGAGGGTAAGGAGAGGAAAGCGGAAGTGGAAGAAGGTGCGATTGAGGTTGAGAGCAAGGGGATGAGCGAGGTAGTGGAAGGGGGTGCGATTGAGGGTGAAAAGGAAGGGAGGGAAAGTGGTATGGAGGAGGTGTGTGAGGGAGAGATGGAGGTGAAGGGTGAGGAGGGTAGGGAGGAGGGATGTGTGGAAGAGGAGGAGGGGGGGAGTGTGAGATCAGAGGAGAAAGAGGAGTTTTACGAGGCAGAGGATGGGGAGCAAGGGGGGGATGAAGAGGGGAAGGAGGAGGGGAGGCAGGAAGAGGAGGAGGAGGAGGAGGAGGAGGAGAAGGAGGAGGAGAAGGAGGAAGGGGAGGAGCCGGAGGTGAGAGAGGAGGTGTTGCAGGTGGAAGAAACAGAGGAGGGAGAAGGGGACGGAGAGGAGAACATAGTAGAGGAGGTAAAGGAGGAGGTAGGGGCGGAAGAGAAGGTAGAGGAGCAGGAGGAAGAGGACGAGGAGGCCCACCGTGTGTCGAGATGGCCGTTGGAGTCCCGATCCCTAGTCCAGGGAATTTTTGGCCAGCTGGCAGCCAAGCTGGCACCTGCTGACGTGGCAACCTTCCGGGAGGTGGTTTCCCGGAACCTTCCGGACGTGGCTGTGGAGGAGACGGGCGACGCTGAGCTGGCAGCGGCGGTGGAGGTGGTGTGTGAGAGGGAGGGGTACGTGGCGAGCTGTGATTGGACGAGGAAGGTGCTGCAGATGGCGAGGTTGATGGGGCTGCATCAGGGGATCATGCTGGTGGGGCCGCCTGCTGGGAAGACCACGGCCTGGAGAGGTGAGAAGGGGTGAAGATGGGTGGAGATGGGTTGGGAGGGGTGATGATGGGACGGCGATGGGTGGTAAGGGGTGAGGAGGGATGATGAGAGGTGAGGACGAGAGGGATGGGTCTGCATTAGGGGATCATGCTGGTGGGGCCGCCTGCTGGGAAGACCACTGCTTGGAGAGGTGAGGATGGGTGAAGAGCAGTGATGTGGGATGAAGGTGGGTTAGGTAGGGGAATAATAGGTTGAGGATGGGTAGAAAGGGATGAGGAGGGATGGTGATGGCGAGGCTGGTGGTGAGGCTCCTGGAGGCAACGAAAGGGTCGCAGGTGTCGGTGACAGTGGTGGATCCTAAGAGTCTGTCGCTCCCATTCCCGCCTCCCCTTCTTGCAGTGCTGCGCAAGGCCTTGGAGGCATCGCAAGGCGTGCAAGTATCCGTGACAGTGGTGGATCCAAAGAGCCTCTCCAAGGAGGTGCTGTTTGGGAGTGTGGAAGCCACCACGCGGGAGTGGCAGGACGGCGTGTTCACCCAAGCCTCTACTCTCTACCCCCTCCCTACCCTCTTCTCTTCCTCCCCTTCCTACCCTTTCACCCCTGTCTGCAGTGCTGCGTGAGGCCTTACAGACATCGCAAGGCGTGCAGGTGTCCGTGACAGTGGTGGATCCTAAGAGTCTGTCCAAAGAGGCGCTGTTTGGGAGTGTGGAAGCCACCACGCGGGAGTGGCAGGACGGCGTGTTCACCCGGGCTTTAAGGGCCGTCGTGCGAGAGTATGAGGAGGAGAGGGAGCGGGAGACAGGGAGAGATGGGGTGGCGGAGGGGGTGGAAGAAGAGGAAACGGAGGGCGAGAGGGAGAGGAGGGAAGGGATGGAAGGGGAAGGGGAGGAGGGCGATGGAGGAGGGGAGATGCGGCAAGGAACAGGAGGGAATGCGGGGAGGGGCGTGGAGTGGCGGCGGCGGCACTGGTTTGTGTTTGATGGCGAGGTGGACCCCATTTGGATAGAGACTCTCAACTCACTGCTGGATGATAACAAGGTGAGAGGGCGTGCCCATTGCCTTGGGCTGCATGAAAGGGCAATGCAGGGAGGGGCGACACAAGGAGGGAAGATAAGGGGAGGCGGCGGCACTGGTTTGTGTTTGATGGGGAGGTGGACCCCATTTGGATTGAGACGCTCAACTCGCTGCTGGATGACAATAAGGTGGGCAATGTGGGAATGATGCACAGAGCGGGTAGGCGTGAAGGGATAACAGGGGGAGGGTTGACACAAGGATTGGTTAGGAGGCAGTAGTGGTACTGGTTTGTGTTTGATGGCGAGGTGGACCTTATTTGGATTGAGACGCTCAACTCCCTGCTGGATGACAATAAGGTGAGACAGCGAGGCAAGGGTGGGGTAGGGTGAGGCAAGGGTGGGGTAGGGTGAGGCAAGGGTGGGGTAGGGTGAGGCAAGGGTGGGGTAGGGTGAGGCAAGGGTGGGGTAGGGTGAGGCAAGGGTGGGGTAGGGTGAGGCAAGGGTGGGGTAGGGTGAGGCAAGGGTGGGGTAGGGTGAGGCAAGGGTGGGGTAGGGTGAGGCAAGGGTGGGGTAGGGCGAGGCTGATCTGTCATGACTCTGCCTGCCTACAGGCGAACGCCTCTCGCTCCTCCCCCACATGGACTGCATATGCGAATGCCCCTCTTTTGCCCACGCCACTATACCCCTCTGCGCCCCTCCCCTCCCCTTAACATTCAGGTTATGACTCTACCCACAGGAGAGCGCCTGCCTCTCCTACCTCACATGCACTGCATATTCGAGTGCCCCTCCATCTCACCCACAACACTCTGCACTCCGCCCCCCTCTCCCACGCTCCCCACCCCGTCTGCCCTCCCCTGCCACCCATCAGGTCATGACTCTACCAACAGGAGAGCGCCTGCCTCTCCTCCCCCACATGCACTGCATGTTCGAATGCCCCTCTCTCGCCCACGCCACTCCCGCCACCATCTCTCGTCTCGGAGTGGTCTGCTTCCCCCACTCCCTCCTCTCCCTCCCAATGCTCCTTCACCGCTTCCGCTTCCTCCTCCCCCCCATGCCCTTCCCCCCACCCTCCTCCTCCCCGTCCTCTTCCTCTCTTTCCCCTCTCCCTCCCTCTCTCTCAACCACAACAGCACCTGCACCAGCTACCCCCGCAACCACCACCACCACTACTCTCTCTTCTTCCCACTCCTCCCACTCCTCCCTCACCTCCTCGCTCTTCTCCGCGCCTCTCTTCCTCCCCTCGCGCCTCTCCCTCGGGATTGACGCGCCAGACGAGCATCTGGAGCTGCTGCCGCCCGGCCTGCCACAGCCGCTGCTACAGTCGGTGCTGGCTGTGGCGCTGGCGGCGCTACAGCCAAGCGGGCTGCTGCAGCAGGCTCTAGAGGCCGCTGCTGCTGTCAGTGGCGCTGATACTGGTGCTGCTGTTGCCAGTGCTACAGGCGCTACAGGTGCTACAGCAGTTGCACGAGCCGGTGCTGCTGCAGGTTCGGCCAAGGCAGATTCCATTCCTTTCGATTCCATGCGGGCCCTTCGCTCGGTATTCCTCTACTACTGTTACCGAACCTCGGACCTTTGCCGAACCTCCGCACAAGCCACGCCTCCCAAGAGTGACGCCCTTGAAACAGCAGGTGTGCGGAGCGGTGAGGGAGGGGTAAAGGGAGGTGCGAATTGGTCTATTGCGGTGGTGGGGAGATTCACTAGAAAAGCAATGGTAGAGGCGATTATGGCAGGGGTTGCAGGGGGAATGGATGTTACCTCTCGCTCTGCCTTTGCAAACAGATTAGCTGGCGTTTTGGCGTCTGAAGGTGGGGGAAAAGATGAGGTGGCATGCCGTGCCACGTCAGAGCAGCTGCTGAGCTGTTTCGCTGACGTGGCGAGCGGGCATTGGAAGCCGTGGGAAGCTGCTCTGCCTGGACTGGCTGATGCTGATGCTGCTGTTGGGGGGTGCTTTGGGGATGAGGAAGGGGAGGAGGGAGAGGAGGAAAGTGTGGAGGAAGAGGAGAGGAGCATGAGTTACAGAAGGAGTAGATCTGTGTCTGGTCGGAGCAATGGCAGTATGGGTGTTACAAAGCAGGGTGGTAGACAGGCGAAGGGTGCAGCAGGGAAGGCAGGAGGAGAAGGAAGGGGAGGATCAGGAGGGGTACGAGGAGCAGGAGGAGCAGGAGCAGCAACAGGAGCAGCAGGTGCAGGAGTAGCGGCAGGAGCAGGAGGGGGAGCAGTAGACTCAACGACTGTTATCCCCACAGCAGAGACAGAACGGTTGGGTGCGGTGATCAGGGCCAGTCTCGCCCAATCACAGCCCATCCTGCTCTGTGGGCCGCCCGGGAGCGGGAAGACTCTCGCGCTGACAGCTGTCGCACAGGCATTGGCTGCTGCTGGCGCTGACGAGGCACAGGCTGCTGCTGCCGCCGCTGCTGCTGCAGCTGGCGCTGCTGGTGGTGCTGGTGCTGGCAGTGCTGGTAGTGCTGGTGTTGGTGGTGCTGGTGGTGGGGTTGGGATGGGGACGCAGCAGCGAAAGGAGAAGCTTTCGCAGAAGCGGCAAGAAGGGAGCAAGCAATCGGCAGAGGCCGAGGCAGCGGCAGCGGCAGGGCCAAAGCTCCACGTGGCAGCCTTCAATTTGTCGCTGTCGACATCCCCCGAGTCGTTTATCGCTGAGCTGGAGCAGCACTGCCGCTACGTCAAGCTCCCTGCTGGTGGTGCTCGTGGTGCTGGTGTTGGTGTTGGTGGTGCTTCTGGTGCTGCTGCTGCTGCTGCTGGTGTTGGTGTTGGTGCTGCTGGTGGGTCACACGAAACAGCAGCAGCAGCAGCAGCAGCAGCAGCATCAGCATCAGCATCAGCAGTGGCAGCAGCAGCCGCCACTTCCAGTGTTAACTGGGCGCTGGAGCCTAAGGACCCAGTACCAGCGGACGGCCGTCTGCTGCTATTGTTAGATGAGGTGAATCTCCCCGCCCCTGACGCTTTTGGCACCATCCGCATGGCCGGCCTGCTTCGGCAGCTAGCGGAGCCGCAGCTGATTCCGCAGGCGGCGGGCGGGGTGGGCGGCGGTAGTGGGGAAAGCAGCAGGAATGGCGATACGCACGGCAGCAGCAGCAATAACGTTGGCAGTGGTGGTGGTGGTGGTGCTAGCAGTGGTAGTAGCAGCAGCAGTGGAGGGAGCGGTGGGTATGCCTATGGGTTCTGGCACCCCAAGAGGCGCGTTTGGGTGCAACTGAGGCGGGTGTCATTTGCAGCCACTTGCAATCCGGCTTCAGACGTGGGCAGGCATGAACTGCCTGTCCGCCTGACCAGGCATCTCACTGTTGCTCATGTTCCGTTTCCGTCCGGCGCGGCTCTTACGACAATATACAGCACGTTTATAAGGGGGATATTGGCCCGGTACTGGCCTGGGGTGGCAGTGGAGGCGCGGGGGAATCCTCAGGTGGTTTCTCAGGTGGATTCTCAGGTGGTTTCTCAGGTGGGCGCGTGCCTGGCAGCGGCGATGGTGGAGGTGTATGAGGAGTGTGGGGTGAGGTTCACTCGGGCAGTGCAGCAGCACTACGTGTGCAGTCCTAGGGAGCTTACCAGATGGACTAGAGGCATCCGATTCGCCCTGGTGCATGGGCAGAAAGGGGTTAAGAGGGGTGGAAAAGGAGACGGGGACGAGAGGGGGGAGAAGGGGGCGGTTGAGAGGGGTGAAAAGGGTGGAGTGAGTGGGAAGAGTGGTAAGGGGCGTATGGGTGCTGGTGGTGCGAGATTGGGTGGTGGTGTGGGGCTGGTTGGAGCAACAAGTGCACATACAGGCGTTGGCGGTGCTGCTGTCATCGGTGGTGATGGGGAGGGCAACTGGGCGGCAAGGCTTGTCCTGACATGGCTGCATGAGGGGATGCGCATCTGGTATGATAGGCTGGTGAGGGAGGAGGAGAGGGAGTGGACGGCGAAGCTGCTGCTGCGGGTGGCAACAGAAAAGATACTCCCGATGCTCGTGCCTCTTGTAGGGAACACTCTTGTAACGAGTACAGGGAATCCTGTAGCTGTTGCTGATGGTGTTTCTGATGGTGTTCCTGCTGTGCCTTTCTCGCTACCTGCCGACCCGAGCCGGTTGGTGTTTTCGTCGCTTCTGACGGGGCGGTACGAGCCGTGCGCGGTGAACCACCTGAAAAAGCACCTGAAGTGGGCCCTGACAGGGGAGGCCCCGGATGCCGCAGGAGGGGCAGGTGCCGGCCAGGTGAAACCAGGTGTTTCTTCAGGTGCTGGGGCAGCAGAAAAGGCCGGGGACAGGAGAGGAGGAGCAGGAAAGCGGGCGTCAAGCAGCAGGGCAGGGGAGGTGGAGGAGGAAATGGGGAGGAAGGTTTTGGAAGAATCAGAAGAACTGGGGATGGAGAAGGGGGAGGAGGATGCAGGGGAGGTGCAAGCAGGGGAGGTGGTATTGACTGATGAGTTTGTGTGTGCGGTGGTGAGGGCGGCATCGGTGCTGCAGCAGCCCATGGGGCATTTGCTGCTGCTGGGTCCTCCTGCAACTGGGAAATCGACCGTTGCCAGGTGGGTGTGAAGCATCTGTTTGAGAGAGGGTGTGTGTGTGAGAGATAGGGTTTGTGTGTGCGGTGGTGAGAGCAGCGTCTGTGCTGCAGCAGCCCATGGGGCATCTGCTGCTGCTTGGTCCTCCTGCGACCGGGAAATCAACCATTGCCAGGTGGGTTTGGGTTTGGGTTTAAGGATGGTTTGGTTCTAGTGTTCATTTTAGAGGTTAGAGCTTACTGATTGAGTGTGTGTGCATGAGTTTGTGTGTGCGGTGGTGAGGGCGGCATCGGTGCTGCAGCAGCCCATGGGGCATCTGCTGCTGCTGGGGCCTCCTGCGACTGGAAAGTCTACTGTTGCCAGGTGGGTGTGAAGCATTTCTGTTTGCTTGTGTGTGTGTGATCGCTGTGATGGGATTGGAGGAGGGGCGGGTGGCACGGCACTCCCTCCATGTGCTTCCTTTTGAGGCTCCTCAAAAGTCATTTCTGTTTGCTTGTGTGTGTGTGATCGCTGTGATGGGGTTGGTGGAGGGGCGGGTGGCGCTCCCTCCATGTGCTTCCTTTTGAGGCGCCTCAAAATTCATTTCTGTTTGCTTGTGTGTGTGATATCGCTGTGATGGGATTGGAGGAGGGGCGGGTGGCACGGCACTCCCTCCATGTGCTTCCTTTTGAGGCTCCTCAAAAGTCATTTCTGTTTGCTTGTGTGTGTGTGATCGCTGTGATGGGATTGGTGGAGGGGCGGGTGGCGCTCCCTCCATGTGCTTCCTTTTGAGGCGCCTCAAAATTCATTTCTGTTTGCTTGTGTGTGTGATATCGCTGTGATGGGATTGGAGGAGGGGCGGGTGGCACGGCACTCCCTCCATGTGCTTCCTTTTGAGGCTCCTCAAAAGTCATTTCTGTTTGCTTGTGTGTGTGTGATCGCTGTGATGGGATTGGTGGAGGGGCGGGTGGCGCTCCCTCCATGTGCTTCCTTGGTTGCCCTCTCCTCTTACCCACTGTGCCTTCCCAATTCTGCATGCAGATGTGCAATTGCTGCGACGGGATTGGTAGAGCTGCGCATGGGGCTGCATGCAGGATTCGGGGTGCTTCTGTGGCTCCAACCTTGAACCTTAAATGCATCCCTCTCCTCTCCTCCTCATAACCCTTGCTGGCCAATCACATGCTCGCAGATCCGCAATCGCTGCGACGGGATTGGTGGAGGTGCGGGTGGCGCTACACGCGGGATTCGAGGAGCGCGAGCTGGACGGCCCGCTGGAGGAGGCGCTGCGGGCGGCGGGGTGCGACGGGCGGCGCGTTTGTCTTGTTCTGGAGGAGGCGCATCTGGTGGAGAGCGCTGTTTTGGAAAGGCTCAACTCGCTTCTCACAGGGGGGGATGTTCTCGGGCTGTTCGGAGCAGAGAAGCAGCAGGTGAGACGGGGGTGTTTGGCCGGCAGTAGCATCATAAAACCAGTTTGTCTTGTTCTGGAGGAGGCGCATCTGGTGGAGAGCGCTGTCTTGGAAAGGCTCAACTCGCTTCTCACGGGGGGGGACGTTCTTGGGCTGTTTGGAGCGGAAAAGCAGCAGGTGAGAGGGGGGGGTCGGGTGATGGTGGTACCTTACAGCCAACAGACTTGAGTTCATTCAGAAGGTACCAAGCAGCGCATCTGGATGAGCTGTGCTTCGGGTGAAGAGCTCTGTTCTGGAGAGGTTCAACTCGCTTCTCACGGGGAGGGAAGGGGGGGGGGGAGGAGGAAAGGGGTGGGGGTGTGTCGTTCTCGGGCTGTTTGGAGCGGAAAAGCAGCAGGTGAGAGGGGGGGGTCGGGTGATGGTGGTACCTTACAGCCAACAGACTTGAGTTCATTCAGAAGGTACCAAGCAGCGCATCTGGATGAGCTGTGCTTCGGGTGAAGAGCTCTGTTCTGGAGAGGTTCAACTCGCTTCTCACGGGGAGGGAAGGGGGGGGGGGAGGAGGAAAGGGGTGGGGGTGTGTCGTTCTCGGGCTGTTTGGAGCGGAAAAGCAGCAGGTGAGAGGGGGGGGTCGGGTGATGGTGGTACCTTACAGCCAACAGACTTGAGTTCATTCAGAAGGTACCAAGCAGCGCATCTGGATGAGCTGTGCTTCGGGTGAAGAGCTCTGTTCTGGAGAGGTTCAACTCGCTTCTCACGGGGAGGGAAGGGGGGGGGGGGAGGAGGAAAGGGGTGGGGGTGTGTCGTTCTCGGGCTGTTTGGAGCGGAAAAGCAGCAGGTGAGAGGGGGGGGTCGGGTGATGGTGGTACCTTACAGCCAACAGACTTGAGTTCATTCAGAAGGTACCAAGCAGCGCATCTGGATGAGCTGTGCTTCGGGTGAAGAGCTCTGTTCTGGAGAGGTTCAACTCGCTTCTCACGGGGAGGGGAGGGGGGGGGGGGAGGAAAGGGGTGGGGGTGTGTCGTTCTCGGGCTGTTTGGAGCGGAAAAACAGCAGGTGGGATCGGGTGTCTGTACAGTAGAAGCATAGTAAGGCCAGCCGGACCCCAAACCCGAAACCCTAAATCCTGAACCTGGACCCTGAACCCTCTGCTGAATCCCTCTCTGAACCCCTCTTTCCCTGCAGGAGCTGCTTGAATCCCTCCGGCAGCGAGGGGAGGGAGAGGGAAGCGAGGAGGCAGCTTGGGCGGGGTTCAGGAGGAGGGTCCAAGGGAACCTGCACGTGGTGCTGACGATGACCAGCCAGGGCAGCGCTCACATGCGCCAGAGCATGCTGGCATCGGATGAACCCTCACCCCACATCCCCAATCCTGAACCCCAAACCCCTCTGTTTTCTCCAGGAGTTGCTTGAAGTGCTTCATGCGTCGGGTGCGGTGGAGGGAGGTTCAGGCCGAAGCGAGGAGGAGGCAGCATGGGCGGGGTTCAGGAGGAGGGTCCAAGCGAACCTGCACGTGGTGCTGACGATGGCCAGCCAGGGCAGCGCTCACATGCAGCAGAGCATGCTGGCGTCCCTTCACACCCTAAACCTTAAACCCCCAAACCCTCACCTTCAACCCCAACCCCTGTACCGCAAAACCCCTGTTTTTCTGCAGGAGCTGCTTGAATCCCTTCGCGTGGCTTCTGAGCCTGAGGAGGAGGTGTGGGCGGGGTTCAGGAGGAGGATTCAAGGCAACCTGCACGTGGTGCTGACGATGACCAGCCAGGGCAGCGCTCACATGCGCCAGAGCATGCTGGCGTCCCCGGCTCTCTTCAACCGCTGCACCGTGCTCTGGCTGCCGCCCTGGGGGGACACGGGGCTCGCTCCGCTTGCTCAGAGTCGCCTCGCCGGTGTTTCGCTGGTTCACCCTGTCTCGGCCGCAGCTGCTGCAGCAGCAGGAGGAGCAGGAGGAGGAGTAGGAGGAGGAGCAGGAGGGGCAGGAGGAAGAGGAGACTCCAAGCAGATTGATATGCCGGCTGATTCTGCGGGTGGTGCTGCTGGTGGGGCTGGGGAAGCGAAGGAGAGGCAGCTGCTGGCGGAGGTTCTGGTGGCAATTCATGGCTGCGCTGTTAGTGCTGTTAGCGAGTCGCTCAATAACAGAGCTTTTGGGAAGGCTGGGCTGGGAGGGGAGCAGCAGCAGGAGGGGAGCTTGCAGCATTCCTTCTCCCCAGACTCTCTCATCTCCCTCCGCTCCTTCTCAGACCTCCTCACCCACTTCCACTCCTCCGTCTCCCACTCGCACCGCCGCGCACACCGCACCTTCCAGCACCTCTCCCTGGGCCTCACGAAAGTCACAGCCGCAGAGCACCGTGTAGTACTCCTCCGAAAACACTTAGAACTCAAATCGAAAGAGCTCCAAGTGAAAGAGGCTGCTGCGAACGGGAAGTTACAGCAGATTGCGGCTGAGCAAGCGCTAGGGGAGAGGCAAAGGAAGGAAGCTCAGGGGCTGATTGCGAGGTTGGACGAGCAGGCGAGGAGTGTGGAGAGGCACCGGAGGGAGGCGCAGGAGAATCTGGAAAGGGTGGAGCCGGCGGTTGATGCGGCGAAAACGGCGGTGAAGTCGATCAGGAAATCCCAGCTGGACGATTTGAAGGCCATGCCGAATCCACCGAGCGCGATTAAGCTGGTGAGTGGTGTGCACTGAACCAGACTAAGCCTGGGGGTAAAGGCGGGGAAAAAGGTGGTGAAGTCGATTAGGAAATCGCAGCTGGATGATCTCAAGGCCATGCCCAATCCACCGAGCGCGATCAATCTGGTGAGTTCCAGTATATGTGTGTGCCTGGGGGTAGTGGCAGTTGAAACGGCGGTGAAGTGGATACGGAAGTCGCAGCTGGATGATCTCAAGGCCATGCCGAATCCACCGAGCGCGATCAAACTGGTGAGTGCTTGCAGGTGTGCTTGCAGGTGTGCTTGCAGGTGTGCTTGCTATGCCATAGGGTGGCTGGGTGTTCGAGAATTCTCAAAAACCTCTCCGTGGTGCGCCAAAATGGCTTCATCCGCTCCACTCCCTTTCCCTTCTTCCCCACCCCACCCTGCCCTCTTCAACCAGACGCTGGAAGGAGTGTGTCTGCTCCTGACCGGCTTAAAGCCCTCCACGTGGCAGGGCATTCTCTCTTGCTGGTACGCCGAAATGACTTCTCTCTTCCACTCACAACCCGTCCTCCTCTCCCCTCTCCCATCTTCCCTTCAACACCAGACGCTGGAAGGAGTGTGTCTGCTCCTGACGGGTTTAAAGCCCTCCATGTGGCAGGGCATTCTCTCATCCAACCCACTCCCTGCCTCCCCCCTTTACCCCAACAGACGCTGGAAGGAGAGTGTCTGCTCCTGACGGGTTTAAAGCCCACCACGTGGCAGGGCATTCTCTCTGTCGTGCGGCGAAACGACTTCATCCCCTCTACTTCCCCTCTGCCCCCCCAACCCCATGTTTCCTCAAACCACGCCAACAGACTCTTGAGGGAGTGTGTCTGCTGCTGACGGGTTTAAAGCCCACCACGTGGCAGGGCATTCTCTCTGTGGTTCTCCGAAACGACTTCATCCCCTCTACTTCCCCTCTGCCCCCCCAACCCCATGTTTCCTCAAACCATGCCAACAGACTCTTGAGGGAGTGTGTCTGCTCCTGACGGGTTTAAAGCCCACCACGTGGCAGGGCATTCTCTCTGTGGTGCGCCGTAACGACTTCATCCCCAATATACTGGGATGCGATATGGAGGCCATAGACCCTGTGCTGGTGCTGCGGGTGAAGCGGGAATACCTGGACGCGAGGGTGATTTCCTTTGATGCTGTGAACAGGTGAGAGAGAGAGAGAGAGTCAGTGCATGGTAATGCGTGGAGCATAGACACCCCCCACCCCGCCCTGGTGCTGCGGGTGAAGAGGGCGTACCTGGGTGCGGGTGAAGAGGGCGTACCTGGGTGCGGGTGAAGAGGGCGTACCTGGGTGCGGGAGAAGAGGGCGTACCTGGGTGCGGGTGAAGAGGGCGTACCTGGGTGCGGGAGAAGAGGGCGTACCTGGGTGCGGGTGAAGAGGGCGTACCTGGGTGCGGGAGAAGAGGGCGTACCTGGGTGCGGGTGAAGAGGGCGTACCTGGGTGCGGGTGAAGAGGGCGTACCTGGGTGCGGGAGAAGAGGGCGTACCTGGGTGCGGGTGAAGAGGGCGTACCTGGGTGCGGGTGAAGAGGGCGTACCTGGGTGCGGGTGAAGAGGGCGTACCTGGGTGCGGGTGAAGAGGGCGTACCTGGGTGCGGGAGAAGAGGGCGTACCTGGGTGCGGGTGAAGAGGGCGTACCTGGGTGCGGGTGAAGAGGGCGTACCTGGGTGCGGGAGAAGAGGGCGTACCTGGGTGCGGGTGAAGAGGGCGTACCTGGGTGCGGGTGAAGAGGGCGTACCTGGGTGCGGGTGAAGAGGGCGTACCTGGGTGCGGGTGAAGAGGGCGTACCTGGGTGCGGGAGAAGAGGGCGTACCTGGGTGCGGGTGAAGAGGGCGTACCTGGGTGCGGGTGAAGAGGGCGTACCTGGGTGCGGGTGAAGAGGGCGTACCTGGGTGCGGGAGAAGAGGGCGTACCTGGGTGCGGGAGAAGAGGGCGTACCTGGGTGCGGGAGAAGAGGGCGTACCTGGGTGCGGGTGAAGAGGGCGTACCTGGGTGCGGGTGAAGAGGGCGTACCTGGGTGCGGGTGAAGAGGGCGTACCTGGGTGCGGGAGAAGAGGGCGTACCTGGGTGCGGGTGAAGAGGGCGTACCTGGGTGCGGGTGAAGAGGGCGTACCTGGGTGCGGGTGAAGAGGGCGTACCTGGGTGCGGGAGAAGAGGGCGTACCTGGGTGCGGGAGAAGAGGGCGTACCTGGGTGCGGGAGAAGAGGGCGTACCTGGGTGCGGGTGAAGAGGGCGTACCTGGGTGCGGGTGATCTCCTTTGATGCCGTGAACAGGTGAGAGAGGGAGTCAGTGCATGGTGTGGTGAAGCATAGACCCTAGACCCCTCCACCCGGTGCTACGTGTTAAGAGAGAGCACCTGGACACGCGGGTGATCTCCTTTGATGCCGGGAACAGGTGAAAGAGAGAATCAATGTGTGGTAAGGTGTAGAGCATAGACCCCCGCCATAGGCAGAGATAAACCCCTCCACCCGGTGCTGCGTGTGAAGAGAGAGAGTACCTGGACGAGCGGGTGATCTCATTTGACGCTGTCAACAGGTGAGGGAGTCAGTCATTATGTGTGGTAAGGTGTAGAGCGTGGAACCCCCATCTGGTACTGCGTGTGAAGAGAGAGAGTACCTGGACGCGCGGGTGATCTCATTTGACGCTGTCAACAGGTGAGGGAGTCAGTCATTATGTGTGGTAAGGTGTAGAGCGTGGAACCCCCATCTGGTACTGCGTGTGAAGAGAGAGAGTACCTGGACGAGCGGGTGATCTCATTTGACGCTGTCAACAGGTGAGGGAGTCAGTCATTATGTGTGGTAAGGTGTAGAGCGTGGAACCCCCATCTGGTACTGCGTGTGAAGAGAGAGAGTACCTGGACGAGCGGGTGATCTCATTTGACGCTGTCAACAGGTGAGGGAGTCAGTCATTATGTGTGGTAAGGTGTAGAGCGTGGAACCCCCATCTGGTACTGCGTGTGAAGAGAGAGAGTACCTGGACGAGCGGGTGATCTCATTTGACGCTGTCAACAGGTGAGGGAGTCAGTCATTATGTGTGGTAAGGTGTAGAGCGTGGAACCCCCATCTGGTACCGCGTGTGAAGAGAGAGAGTACCTGGACGAGCGGGTGATCTCATTTGACGCTGTCAACAGGTGAGGGAGTCAGTCATTATGTGTGGTAAGGTGTAGAGCGTGGAACCCCCATCTGGTACTGCGTGTGAAGAGAGAGAGTACCTGGACGAGCGGGTGATCTCATTTGACGCTGTCAACAGGTGAGGGAGTCAGTCATTATGTGTGGTAAGGTGTAGAGCGTGGAACCCCCATCTGGTACTGCGTGTGAAGAGAGAGAGTACCTGGACGCGCGGGTGATCTCATTTGACGCTGTCAACAGGTGAGGGAGTCAGTCATTATGTGTGGTAAGGTGTAGAGCGTGGAACCCCCATCTGGTACTGCGTGTGAAGAGAGAGAGTACCTGGACGAGCGGGTGATCTCATTTGATGCTGTCAACAGGTGAGCATGGCGGTAAGGGTGTGCAGGTGAACCGTAGAGAGTCAGTGTGCAGGTGAACCGTAGAGAGTCAGTGTGCAGGTGAACCGTAGAGAGTCAGTGTGCAGGTGAACCGTAGAGAGTCAGTGTGCAGGTGAACCGTAGAGAGTCAGTGTGCAGGTGAACCGTAGAGAGTCAGTGTGCAGGTGAACCGTAGAGAGTCAGTGTGCAGGTGAACCGTAGAGAGTCAGTGTGCAGGTGAACCGTAGAGAGTCAGTGTGCATGTGAACCGTAGAGAGTCAGTGGGCATGTGGGCCGTTGTTCTCGTGGTTAGATGCAGCGGTGCAGTATGGGAAGATCATCCGGGCTGTGCAGCCCAGGAGGGCCGAGATGCTCACTCACCTCCCTGCTTCTTATACAATCTAACCCCTGTAACCTGCCATTTCAGAGCGAGCAAGGCATGTGGGCCGTTGTTCTCATGGCTGGAAGCAGCGGTGCAGTATGGGGAGATCATTCGCGCCGTGCAGCCCATGAGGGAAGAGATGGAGCAGCTGGAGGGGGAGGCGGGGAGCATGGCTGAGGAGCTGCAGCACGTGCAGGTGAGGTTACAGTCTCTGGTTACCACTTCCTGGTTACCACTCTATGGTTACCACAATCAGGTACCACTGAGTGTGGCATGAGAGGCCCGTGCAGCCCATGAGGGACGAGATGGGGCAGCTGGAGGGGGAGGCGGGCAGCATGGCGGAGGAGATTCAGCACGTGCAGGTGGGTGTGTGTGGGTGTGTGTGGGTGTGTGTGGGTGTGTGTGGGTGTGGGTGTGTGTGGGTGTGTGTGGGTGTGTGTGGGTGTGTGTGGGTGTGGGTGTGTGTGGGTGTGTGTGGGTGTGTGTGGGTGTGTGTGTGTGTGTGTGTGTGTGGGTGTGGTGGGTGTGGTGGGTGTGGTGGGTGTGGTGGGTGTGGTGGGTGTGGTGGGTGTGTGTGGGTGTGGTGGGTGTGGTGGGTGTGGTGGGTGTGTGTGGGTGTGGTGGGTGTGGTGGGTGTGGTGTCACGAGTCTGCTTTCTGAGTGGCAAGCTTACACCACTCTGCACCGCTCATCACTGCTCTTCACCTTCCACACCACCCCTCACCGCACTGCACCACCCTTCATTTCTTTCAGGAGTCTATTGGATCTCTAGAGGAGCGCATGGAAGCGTGCCGAGACGAGCACTCCCTCCCTCCTGCTCTCCGCATGTGGAGCCATGCGAGCCGACATCCACCCAACTCTCCCGATCTCCCTCCCTGTCTTCCTTCCCCCACACGTCTCTTCTCTTCACCACACAGCACCCCTTCATTCCGTTCAGGAGTCCATTGGCAATCTGGAGGAGCGCATGGAAGCGTGCCGAGACGAGCACTCCCTCCTGCTCTCCGCATGTGAAGCCATGCGAGTTCTGAGGACTCCCTCACACAACTCTTCACCACACTGCACCCATCAGGAGTATATTGGATCTCTAGAGGAGCGCATGGAAGCATGTCGAGACGAGCACTCCCTCCCTCCTGCTCTCCGCATGTGAAGCCATGCGAGACCAACTTTCTCTAAATCTCCCTTTCTTACTCCCTGTTGTCCTTCCCCCACACCATCCTGCATCACCCTTCACCGCTCTGCACCCATCAGGAGTCCATTGGCAATCTGGAGGAGCGCATGGAAGCATGTCGGGACGAACACTCCCTCCTCCTCTCCGCCTGTGAAGCCATGCGAGCCGACATCCACCAATCAAAGCTCGCCATGCAGCGAGCCGCCAGCCTGGTAAAAGACCTGACGTACGAGCGTGACCGTTGGATGAAGCAGCGCGAGATGCTCAAGAGCCGGGCGGCGGCGTGCATAGGCGACGCTTTGCTAAGAGCCGCTAGTTTGGCGTACCTGGGACCGCTGGAGCTCGCGGAAAGGCAGCGGCTTTTAGCTAAGTGGCAGGAGGTGGTGGGTTCCCGCGGGTTGAAGTTCTCGCAAGGGGGTGTGCTGAGGGGTGAGGTGGGGTTGGATGGGGTTGGGGAGAGGGGAGCGGAGGGGGGTGAGGAGGGGTGGGGAGGGGTGGAGGAGGATGAAGAGGTGGAGGAGGAGCGGGCGAAATGGGAGGCGATGGGGTTACCACAGGACGAGTATGCGTTACAGAACGCAGAATCGGTGCTTAAGTGCCGGAGGGTGCCTCTCCTTGTGGACCCTTCTGGAAGAATGGTTGAGTTCCTTCGGAAGGTTCTCTCCTGCTCCGCCCCTGCTGCTACAGCTGAGACTGCTACAGACGGAAGCACCGAATCCGCTACAGCCGAGTCTGTTATATCTGATTCTGGTGCTACAGCCGAAAATGTTCCTGGTTTGAGTGACAGCAAGGGTTCAGGAGAAGGGAAGCAGGAAGGGGGGGTGGTGTGTGTGAGTGCACAGGAGGAAGAGAGTGTGTTGGCTCGTGCAGCAGAAAAGGCTGTCAGATTCGGCCTCCCGTTGATCATCAGAGACGTTTCTCAAATGAGCTCTATTCTCTCGTCCCTCCTCCTCTCCTCCCCCTCCTCCTCCTCATCCTCCTCATCCTCCTCTCACTCCCTCCTCTCCTCTCCGCCCTCCTCGCTCTCCTCACCCACTCTCTCCCTCACTCCCTCCCTGTCCAAAATCCGCCTGCTGAACCGAGAAATCGACGTTTCCCCCTCCTTCCGCCTCTTCCTGACGACCGAGTCCCTCCTCCCTCCTCTCTCCCCCTCTCTCTTATCCAAAACCGCGGTGGTAACCACCGGAATCTCGCCCTCCTGGCTGCGTCAGCACCTGCTGAGCCGCGTGATTGGCCGGGAGCGCGCTGACGTGGCGCAGCAGCGGGACCGGGCGGCGGCTCTGCAGGAGAGATGCCGAAGGAGATTGCGCCAGCTGGAAGGGAGATTGCTTGAGGTGCTGACGTCACCAGAAGAGGACGGGAAGGAAGCGGGAGGTGTGGTAACAGGGAGCGTGGCTGCTGGGAGCGTGACTCCTGCTCGTGCGGCTGGGAGTGGTGGTGGTGGTAGTAGTGTCAACAGCACCCCTCCTCCTACTTTCAGCATGTTTAGCGGGTTAAAACGACCGGCAGGCATGGCAGCAACACCAACAGCAACAGCAGCACACACAGCAGCAGCAGCAGCAGCAGCAGTGGCAGCACAAACGCCTGTGGGAGTCTCTCTGTCTTTCCGAGCCCTCGAATCCCCAATCCCCACGCCAGCCCCTCTCCCTCCCGTAATGGACGACTCAACAGTCTCAAAAACCCTCGCTCAGATTAAAAAAGACGCAGCAGCAGTCAAGGCGAAGGCCAGAGAGGTGCGGCTGGTAATGAGACAAGTCGACGCCGTCCGGACGCTGTACGCCCCGCTGGCGGACGTCGGCGCGGCGGCGTTTTTCGTCCTTTCTGGAGCGGCTGCCGCCCTGCAGCAGCCGCTGTACAGATTCTCGCTGGATTTCTTTCTGCGGGCGTTTGACGATGCGATTTTGGCTGCTAGTGGTGAATCAGGTGGGAAATCAGCAGCAGAAGTAACAGCAACAGCAACAGTAGCAGCAACAGCAGAAGCACAGTCAGAAGGTGCTGTAGCTGTGAAGCCGAGAGTGAGGCAGCTGGTGGCAGTAGTATTGAGTGAGCTTATAACGAGGACAGCAGAGGCAACAGAGTACCGGCACCACCTGCCTGTGGCCCTCGCCCTATCCCGCTGCGCCAGGCTGGCAGATGACGTGGACTGGGTTGGCTTGGCTACAACTGTCGCTGCAAAGTTTGCTACAGGGTCTGCTGGTGCTATAGGCACTGCTACAGCCCCTGCTACAGCTGAGAGTACAGGCAGAGCAGCAGGTGATATTTCAGCCACAGTGAAAGAGGAGCTGCAGCATACGACTGCTGGGGCAGCTTATAGCGAGTATGAGGTCAGGGGGTGTGCTGCAGTGGAGGCAGTGGTGGGGTTTGTCGAGTCAATGGCAGTCAACGCTGGTCAAACGGACATTGCTGGGCGGCGACTGGTGGAGGCTGTAATCAGTCAGGGGGGTAGCTGTGCTGTTGGCACTGCTGCTGCCACTGCTGCTGGCGGCGCTGCTGGCGGCGCTGCTGGCGGTGCTGTTGGCGGTGGTTCTGATGCTGTTAGCAGACCAAGAGCAGCAGGGGGGAGGATCGGAATGGCACTAGAGCATCCCATGGAGCATCCTGCTGCTGCGGCTCGATTCATGCAGGCTCGGGCCGAGCCTGCCCACCCGATCCTGGTGGCCTGCGTCGGCAGCTGCGACCCAACCGCCATGCTCACCGCTGCTGCTGCTACAGCTGCTACAGCCACTGCTGCCGCTGCTACAGCCGCAGGTGCTGACAAAATTGCTGTTGCTGCCTCTGCTGCTACAGCCGCTGCAGTTCCTAGGGTTGTAGCGGTGGCAATGGGTTCAGACGATGCAGTGGCAGAAGCACAGAGGGCGGTGGAGAGAGGGGCGAGGGAAGGGCGGTGGGTGGTGCTGTGCAATGCCCACCTGGCCCTATCGGTGCCCAGGCACGCTGCGTGGCTTCAGCTGCTGCTCAACTCGTTACAGTCACGCGCTCTGTCGGTGCCAGTGCATCGGGACTTCCGGCTGGTGCTGACGGTGGAAGCAGCGGGGGCGGCTGTGAGGCTGATGCCGCCCAAGCTGGTGGAGGCGTGTGATGTGTTGGTGATGGAGGCACCGGCTGGAGTCAAAGGCAGCATGCAGGTGAGATATACTCCCCGTCCTTCCTTCCCGTTCTGCTCTCCTCTCCCTCTTTCTGGCCCACTGCATCCTGCCTTCCGGCTGGTGCTGACGGTGGAAGCGGCGGGGGCGGCTGTGAGGCTGATGCCTCCCAAGCTGGTGGAGGCGTGTGACGTGCTGGTGATGGAAGCACCGGCAGGAGTCAAAGGCAGCATGCAGGTGAGACTCTCTTGTGTTGCTGTCCCCTTTCTCCTTCCACTAGTAGTTTGAGGTGCCTCACATCGCTCCCAAGCTGGTGGAGGCGTGTGACGTGCTGGTGATGGAGGCACCGGCAGGAGTCAAAGGCAGCATGCAGGTGAGACTACTTTCTGTGTTGCTCTCCTCTCGTGTTGAGTTGCCCCCCAAGCTGGTGGAGGCGTGTGATATGCTGATGATGGAGGCACCGGCTGGAGTGAAGAGAAGCATGCAGGTGAGATATGCTCCTATCCTCCTCCTTGTCTCGGTGCTGTGAGTCGACTCTTAACACCCCAAGCTGGTGGAGGCGTGTGACGTGCTGATGATGGAGGCACCGGCAGGGGTGAAGGGCATACTGCTCCTTCTTACTTCTTTGCGCTTCACTCGTTTTGGAGACCACTCCCTCTTTCTTGCTCTCGTTCTAACGCCCAACCGATTCCTGCCCCACCCTTTTTCCCTTCTTTCTCCCCCCTACAGAGATCTCTGGTTCCAATCCCCTCTCTCTTGCTCACTAGTCCCCTGTGCTCACTTCACTACGGCCTCACCCACTCCCCTTCTCTTTCCCTCCCCCCGACAGAGATCTCTGGATTCCATTCTATCGCTCTCGGCCAGAGGCAGCAGCCAGTGGAACGAGCAGCAGAGAAAGAGAAACCCGGATGAAGAAGCGGAGAGGGGCAGCGAATGCAACCGCTCACATCCTTCCTCTCATACCCACCCCTCTCACGCCCCTTTCACGCCTTCTCCCCCCTACAGAGATCTCTGGATTCCATTCTCTCACTCTCGGCCAGAAGCAACAGCCTATGGAAAGAGCAGCAGAGAGGGAGAAACGTGGCAGAGGAAATCGAGAGGGGAAGCGAGCGGAGCGGGGTTGCTGTGGAGAAGAGGCTACAGGGGAAGCAGCAGCAGGTGCTGCAAGTGCGAGGGGGTGATGTGGAAGAGGAGAGGAGGAGGCGGCAGATGCTACGGGTGCGGGTGGGCATGGCATGGGTGCATGCAGTGCTGCAGGAGCGAGTGCACTATGTGCCTCGGGGTTGGCTGTGCCCTTACACCTTCATGGACCATGTGAGTGTGCCTCTGTATGTGAGCAAGAATGGGTGTGTGTGTGCATGGCGTGGGTGTGGGTGGGCCAGAGCGGGTGTGGGTGGGCCAGAGCGGGTGCGGGTGGGCATGGCATGGGTGCATGAGGTGCTGCAGGAGAGGGTTCACTATGTGCCCAGGGGGTGGGTGTGTCCTTACACGTTCATGGATCACGTGAGTTGCTGGGTGGGAGTGTTGGTGTTGACTCGTCTGTGTGTGAACCCACCCACCTGACACCCCTCACTGTCTGCCAGCTGTGAAAACCCTCCTCCTCGACAGCACCTACGGGCTCAAGATGTCAACCTTTATCACCCCTTCCAACCACTTCCCACCCCTTGCAGTGAGAACCCTCCTCCTCGACAGCACCTACAGGCTCAATATGTCAACCTTTATCACCCCTTCCAACCACTTCCCACCCCTTGTAGTGGGAACCCTCCTCCTCGACATCACCTACGGGCTCAAGATGTCAACCTTTAGCACCCCTTCCAACCACTTCCCACCCCTTGCAGTGAGAGCCCTCCTCCTCGACAGCACCTACAGGCTCAAGATGGAGTCTCCTGCAGACCACCACCTGCTCTTACCCCTTCCCACCCCTGCTCACCTCTTTGCATCCCTTTCTCACCCGTTTCCACCCCTTGCAGGATCTCACCTGGGCGCTCTCTCTCCTGCAAGCCTGGCAGGCAGACAGCCCCTGCAGCCTGACACCCCTCAAATGCCTGCCAGCAGTGAGAACACTCCTCCTCGACATAGCCTACGGGCTCAAGATGGAGTCCCCTGCAGACCATGCCACTCTCTCCCGCATCGTCTCGCACGTGTTTGGAGATCCCAAGGCGTTTTTCGCGCCACAATTCGCCCTCTCGCTCGCTCCAGCCACTCCTGCTGCTACTGGTGCTACTGGTGTTGCTGCTGATGCTGGTGATGCGGTTACCAGCGTGTCGGCGTTACTGAATTTACCAGATGAGGACACGGAGGAGGCGTATACCAGCTGGGTCCAATCACTGCCCGCCACGTGTCCACCTGAGTGGCTGGGGCTGAAGGCTGGGGAGGATAGCGTAAGGTATGCCAAGGAGAGTGCGCAGGTGCTCAAAGCCACACTTGGATTAATGGGAGGAAGCTCAGCTCAATAAGGAGGATGGAGTGTTAATGTTACTCATGCAGAATGGGACCTTCTCATTTGATGGAGTCGTAGATTAACCACAGGTTCGTTACCATCCCAACTACGTTGTTGTCCCTTAGTATAAGAATGTGCAGTGTAGAGGCCACGTTGCTAGCTTTGGTGCTGATTTTTTTTGTGACTTTCTGTGCTAAGCGATGCCATTCCTGTTTGGAAAGGAACCATTAAAAAATAGTTTTTTCACCTGACGCACAGTTGACCCACCACAGCCTTAGGTAACGTTCCTGGCCCGTGTCAAACTTTGGGCCAGGCTGCTTGACACGAGGTGGAATAGACAGGCATGGGGCAAAATCGTGATTTCGTGTCAGACCTCCCTGGGGAGCCTGACACCAAGTAAACTTGGCCCGAAGCTGGACACTGGCCAGGAACGTTCCCTTATAGCCTTTGATAATTGCAAGAGGGAGAGACATACTGGTACAATTTTGAGGATGTGTATGCCGACAGGTTCCTCCATCAATACCCCAGCTATGCTTCAAGTTACAGTGTCTCATTTCACCTGCTTATTGCTTTTCCGAATCAGATTCTGAAGGTTGGTAGGGGCAAGTGAAACCAACAAAAACCAAAATTTGCTGGAGAAGTGGGGTATCGATCCCCATACCTCTCGCATGCTAAGCGAGCGCTCTACCATCTGAGCTACATCCCCATGCTATTTGGGTACTGTTATATTAACTTAAAAATATTCACATCCGGCTGGTTTACCAACCAGATTTTTGGTCCCACCGACATGCCGTTGCTCTCATCGTGCGGTATTTCCAAGAGAAACGTCGATCATAGGGAGTTCCGTGATTTCAGCAGCATGCGTTCCTTGTGTTCAACATATGCTGCGTTCAGATAGGAGTTCCGTGGTTAGCGAGAAACGGCTGAGATCAATTTCAGGTCGGATTGCCGCTCCTCCCAAGGTTGTTCCGACCAGGTTTTCGTGAGCGTTCGTTTATCCTCGCCTCCGCATTCGCGAACAAGAATCGCAAACGAGACGGCGATTCGCTAAGGAGTAGGATATATTTACCTCTGGCGTGAGAGAATGCGGAGAATACGGAGATCCTAGGGAATGCCGTGAATGCTCTGTCCCCGAAATTCGCTTATCCCGTCGTTTCTGCTAACCTCACCTTTCTAACAGTTAATCGTGAAGCCTTTTAACGGCTCACCGACATGCGACTCGTGACGGTCCTATAGTCGGAGCGCAAGGGTTCGTAATTCCTGTCATCCATTCTGTTACTCCATTCGTCGTCGTCGCGAAAGGTCGGATGACGTCGCCGCAGCGTATAATGACGTCATCGTCCATGTCCAGCGTTCTCCTAATCGTTCTTCACTTGTCCTCCGTCACTCCTATTTGGGTAAGCCCTTTCTTCTCGTTCCCTGTCTCTCTCACCTCTTTCTCTTTTTCCTCTCCTCTCGCCTTCTCTCGTCTCCCAACTCAAAACGTCAAGAATCCGACTTTTTTACCGCTCCAACAAGCTAGTTAACTTCTATCTATGTTCAAACTCCGTCGTCTCTCTCCTTCCCTCTCAAACTCGAGTCCTTTCCTTCTTCATCGTTCTTATGGTGTGTATTTTTGTATCAGGCGCTGAGTCCCTCACCGGATGGCCTTCAATCGGGGACAACCGTCCCTTCGCATGTCCCTGAAAGTCTCACTCCATCAACTGATGGTGCTGATCCATTCGTTCTCAGACCCAGGCCAGAAACCACTCTTTCCGCAACATCTGAGTATGCTTCAAGACGTCTCGCAACTCTTCCCATGGAGACCGAATCTGCAGCAGCAAATTCTGCTGAATTTCCTCCCTCCCTCGTGGCTGGACTTTCCGAACCTAGAGGTTCGGATGCTACAACCGGAAGTACAGCCTCCGGACCTAACGGTTTGGAAGGTCCAGCAGCATCTGTACCAGTTGGGCCGAACCGTCGCCTTCTTGCGGGCTTACATGGTCCCAGAGCCGTTGTCCGAGGCAAAAAGCCAGGCTCGGCCAGGCCTGCCGAACCTACAGATCCGGCAGGCTCTGCTACAGCTCTTACAGCTTCTGCCGAGCATGCATCGGAGCAAGGAGAGAAAGGGGAAGAAGACAAGAAGAATATAGATGTAACAGCTGCTTCTGGTGTGAGTGCAGCAGAGGGAAGCGAGAAAGGGGAGGAAGAGGACAGGGGATTAGATGCAACAGCTGTTTCGGGAGGTGTGACTGGAACAGAGGGAGGAAAGGAGGTGCAGGAGGAAGGGGAGGAGAAGCAGGAGGAGGAAGACGAGGAGGAGAAGGGGGGGAGTGGAGCTACTGCTGCTGCTGCTGCTGCCACTGCCGGTGGTTCTGCTGCTTCTAGTGCTTCTGCTGCTGCTGGGTTGCAAGGTGCCAAGTCTGCTGCGGTGAATGCTGCTGATAGGGAAGCTGCCACTGCCACTTCGGAAGGTACTGGTGCTGCTGATGCTGAAGCCTCCGGCTCTCGTGCTGCTGTTGTTACCACTACTTCTGGAAGGCCGGAAGGTGCCAAGGCTATTGCTGTGGGTGCTGCAGACAGGGAAGCTGCCAGCACCACTCCGGCAGGCACTGATGCTGCTGATGCTACTGCTGCTACTGCTGCTGCTACTACTGCTACGGTTGCTGGGGTGGATGCTTCGGTTGCTCGTGGTGGTGCTGGTAGGGTGCGTCCACCTGCTACCACTGACGGTGCTGCTGCTGCTACCACTGACGGTGCTGCTGCTGCTATCACTGACGGTGCTGCTGCTGCTACTACTGGAGGTGCCGCTGCTGTTACTACTGGAGGTGCCACTGCTGCCACCACCAGGGATCCCGCTGCTGCCACTACTGCCACTGCTGCTGGTACCACTGCACCTGCTACCACTGACGATACCGCTGCTGCCACTGCACTTGCTGCTACCATTGATGGCACTGCTCCCAGCACTAGGTTTGCCGCTTCTTCCAAAGCAGCCACTGTTGCCACTGCTGCTGGTACCACTGACGATGCTGCAGCAGCAGCAGCTGGTGCTACTTCCGCTGTTGCTGAAGCCAATCGCAGCGAAGTTACTGGGGCGGGCAAGGAGGAGGAAAAGGGAGAGAATGATGCAGGGAGCGCAGACGAGGAGGGTGCAAGGTCGGTCGGTGGGGCTGCAGAGAATGAGAAGGTGACTGGTGGGGAAGCAAAGGATGTGAAGACGGCTGGTGGGGAGGCAAAGAACGAAGAGGAAGAGGAGGCGGAAGAGGAGAAGGAGATGGGGAAGGATGGGACGAGAGGGGTGGAGATGGATGGGGGAAATCAGACTGCGAAGGGAGGGAAGGAGGAGGGAAGAGAGGAGGGCGTGAGTGGTGAGGAGCAGAGGGGGGAAGGCGTGAGTGGGCAGCAGCAGAGGGGTGAGCGCGTGAGTGGGCAGCAGCAGAGGGGTGAGGGCGTGGAGCAGAAGGAAAGGGAGGAGGAGGGTGAGTTGAAGGGAGGGGAAATGAAGGGAGAGGAGGTGAAGGGAGAAGAAGCGGAGGAGGATGAAGAAGTGAAGGTTGGGCCAGCGGATTTGGGGATGGAAAAAGTGGACGAGGCGTTGGCAGCAGCAGAAGAGGCAATCATGCCGAAAGTTAAAGGCTCTGATGCTGCTGCTGCTGCTGCTGGTGGTGCTGGCGCTGGTGGTACTAGTATTGTGGCGAATGTTACAAGTAAGGTGGGAGAGAAGAGAGGAGGAGAGGAGGAATTGGTGGATGCAAATGTTACAAGCAGGGTGGGAGGTGATAAGGGAGTTGAGAAGGAAGCGGAAGTGGTGGGGAAGAGAGGGGCTGAGGGGGGGACTAAAGAGGAGGCAGGATTGGCTGGGGAAGAGGAGGAGGTGGAGGAGGAGGAGAAGAAGGAGGAGGAGGAAGCGGCAGAGGAAACGGAAGAAGGAAAAGCCGAGGATGCAGCTGCAGCAGAGGAGGTTGAAGAGTTGGCGGCAGAGACAAAGGGAGATGCAGAAACGGATACATCTATGGTAGATGCGCCTGCTGCAAAAGCCAGTGGGGGAAAGGGTACAGTGACGGGTAGCTGGAGGGTCAGCAAAGCAGGTAGCAAGGCAGGTAACGAAAACTCAACAGCAGAAGCTGCCGCAGCAGCAGGGGAAACAGATGTTACTGTGGTTGATTTAGCTGCTGCAAACGCCACTGATGGAGAGGGTGTGTCCGGAAAGGAAATGCTTACAGGAGCAGAGCTTACAGGGAATAGTATGTTGAGAGGAGAAGAGGAGACTCGTGAATCAACTCAAAGGTCGAAGGTGTCTGCTGGAAAAGGCACGTTTGGGAAGGGTAATTTTACTGGAGCAGATCTTACAGGGGATAGTGTGATGAGAGACGGAGAAACGGGAGAGGAAGAAGAGGAGAGGGAGGGGAAGGAGGGTTTGGGGGAGGAGATTGTTGCCACTGAACGGCAGGGGAAGAAGGGAGGTGGCACGAAGGGTGTGAGAGTGGGAGAGGGAGAAATGGGAGAGGAACAGGAGCGGGAGGAGGAGAGGGAGGAGCAGGGGGAGGAGGGTTTGGGCGACAATATTGCTGTTACTGAGCGGCAGGGGAAGAAGGGAGGTGGCTCAAAGGGGGTGCGAGTGGGAGAGGGAGGGGAAGGAGGAGGAATGGATGGGATAAGGGGAGAGGAGGAGGTGGAAAGGGAAGAAGAGGAGGGAGAGGAGGAGGCGGAGATGAGAGTAGAGGAGGGAGGAGAGGAAGGGCTCTTGCACAGCAGGTCTCCAGGTAAAAGTGGGAAGGGCTTTGGAGGAGACAGTGGGGTTGAGGGTGGCGCTGAGACTGGAGCTGAGACGGGGGCATTGGGTGCAGAAGCAGCAGCAGAGGAGGGAGGAGAGGAAGGGCTTTTGCACAGCAGGTCTCCGGGTAAAACCGGGAAGGGCGGTGCAGCTAAGGGTGGGGTTGATGGCGGGGTTGAGGGTGGGGTTGAGAGTGGGGCTGAGAAGGGGGCATTGGATGCAGAAGCAGCAGCAGAGGAAGGAGACTCGGTGGCAGATGGACGAGTAGATGGAAAGCCAACACCAGCAGCAGAAGCAGCTGCTGCTTCCAAGAAGGATGCTGAGGGAAAGAGAGGAAAAGGAGGTGGTGCTGGTGGTTTTAGGAAGAGAACAGGTGGAGAGGAGGAGTTACCTGCTGCAGAAGAAGAGGGGGAGAGTGAGGATCGGGGTGAGGAGGCTGAGGAGAAAAGGGGAAAAGGATTCGGTGGTAGTGATGCGAGGAAAGGAACAGGTGGAGAGGAGGAGAGGGGACAAGGTCTAGGTGGTAGTGATACCAGGAAAGGAACAGATGGAGAGGAAGAGTATGGTGCAGAAGAAGGGGCGAGAGAGGGGGAGAGAGAGGATGGGAGTGTGGGGGGGAGGGAGGAGGAAGGTGAATGGGCAATGCCTGGAGACGACTTCGCTGCTGAAGAAGCACCTGAAGATTCACCTGAAAATTCACCTGAAGATGCACTTGAGGGTTCGGCTGAGGAAGACGAGTATCCTGCAGAAGGGGCGAACAAGGGGCGGGTTTCAGGTGGTAAGAATGCAGACGCAGTGACAGGTGAAAGAGGAGCAGGAGGGTCTCAGGCGTCTGAGAGTAAAGGAAAAGACAGTTTGCCCAGTGGAAAAGGAGCAGGGGCAGGGAGGCTTGGTGGTGCTGGTGGTGCTGGTGGTGCTGGTGGTGGTGGGGATGGTGGTAGGGGGTCACCTTATGGGGGAGAGGAGGATGAGTATGGAACGCTTCAGGATTTCGGTCCTTCCAATCCAAAAGCAGCAGCAGGAGCAGGGGCAGGAAAGTTTGGTGGTGGTGGTGGTAGGGGTGGTGGGGGTGGTGGTGGTGGTAATGGCAGGGAGTCTCCCTATGGAGGAGAGGAGGATGAGTATGGAACGCTTAGGGATTTCGGTCCTTCCAACCCAAAAGCAGCAGCAGCAGAAGCAGCGGCAGGAGAAGCAGGAGAAAGAGGCACAGCAGCAAAAGCGGAGGCTGCAGCAGCAGGAGAAGAAGAAGGAGATGAAATGTCCCAATCGGGAAGCTCCAAGGCAACTCTGCCCTCAGAGCAAGATCTCACCCCACCCTCCTCGTCGCCTCCCTCCTTCAATCCCCCCGTCCCTTCGTCGTCCTTCTTGGAACCCTCTTCTGCTTCTTCTCCCTCCCTCTCTTCTCTTCTTGCTTCAACCTTAGAGCCTGTTCTGGCTCCTCTAGCATCTCTCCTCAGCACCTTCCTCCCTTACGCCGAGGCCCAAACAGCAGCCTTCTATCTCCTGCTAGGCCTTCTCGCCGCTCTCGCTCTCTCCCTCTGCGTCTGCTGCCTCTGCTGCTGCCGAACCGGCGAGGCCGGGGGCAGGTTCGGCGGGCTGGGAGGTCCGGCGTACGCGAAGGTTCCAGGAAAGGAGGTGGATTTGTCGTTGGCGTTGGGGCAGGGGCCGAGTGGGCGGGGGAGGGGGAGTGGGAGTGGGGGAGGAGAAGGGTGGGAGAATTGGGATGATGAGGAGGGATGGGATGAGGAGAAGGGTAGTGGAGGGGGAGGAGGTGGGGGAGGAGGAGACAAGTTAGCACAAGTACTGGGCAAGGCTTTAGATACAGCTGCTGGTGGTGCTGCTACTGCTGGTGCTGGTGCTGGTGTTGTTGGTGCTAGTGCTGCTGGTGCCACTGGTGCAGGTGCTACTGGTGCTGGTGCTACTGCAGTGAAAAAGAACATTCTTGGGTCGATCGGTCGAACCAACGGAGCAGGCTCGGGGAGAAACGGTAGTGGCAGCAACGGCGGTGATGCAGGTGGTTTGGGTGCTGCTGGTGCAGCTGCTGGGGGAGGAGGGGCGAGGAAGAAAGCAGGAGGAAAGCTGGTTGTGAGCAAAGGGAAGGGGCTTGTGAAGCAGTAGCATCAGTGCTACTGGCGATGCTGGTGCTCCTGCTGGTGCTGGTGGTGCTGCTGCTGGTGCTGGTGATGGTGCCGCTGGTGCTGCTGCTGGGGGAGGAGGGGCAAGGAAGAAAGCAGGAGGAAAGCTGGTTGTGAGCAAAGGGAAGGGGCTTGTGAAGCAGTAGCATCTGGCTTGAAATAGAGAGGAGAGGAGGAAACAGGGTTGGTGAAACAGCAGTTTTTCCCTTGTGGAGTTGTAAGAAAGTGGAGTGCATGTGGTAGGACAGCAATTGGCTCAGGATGGTGGTGATGCTTCTGCTGGTGGTGCTGCTGGTAGTGTTGGTGCTTCTGCCGCTGCTGCTGCTTGCATTGCTGCTCGTGCTGCGTGTGCTGTTGCTTGTGCCGCCGCCGCTGCTGCCACTGCTGCTGCTGCTGCTTTCAGTGATACAGCGATGCCGCTGCTGCTGGTTCTGGCAGTGCTGTTCATGCAGAGGGGCCAAGGAAGAGAACTGGTTGTTTGCTAGGGAAAGGGGCTTGTGAAGGAGGAGGGAAGAATACATTAGGGAAGCTGGTTGTTGTGGCACGAACAGTTGCTCCAATTCTATTCGTGGGACTTTCATCCAATAAGCATTGCGATCTCATCTCACCCATCAAATTCTTTTTGTCCTTGCGTGTAGGGCAATTCAAATTTAGACAGTATATGTGAATTTGGATCTGATGTGTAGCTGGTAATGCTAAAAACCGGTTCAGACAAAAACAGGTGCAAAAACCTGCTACAAGTAAATATACCGGTATGCAACGTGAACAATTCCGCAATCACCAGCCCCCAAACCAACCTCATCATGCTCCATGTCCTTCTCCCTTTGTGATTCATGATGTGATATTGGCAGCACCAACATGAACATCTACGTCTCAAACAGTGAACGCAACGGAATGTTTGGAATAGAAACGAACGGGGTACAAATAAGCAACCCTAGAAACTGTACCCCCTGCAGTGCAACTCACTACAGCCTATCATATCAATGTTCAACATTTGACACACCCCCATAGGCTAAGTGAGGGGCATCAAAGCAAGCAAGGTGAACAAACGGTCACAAGTCCAGGCAAAGCAAGAACCAAGACAAGCTCAGGGTGGATCTCAAGGACACCACACAAATTCCGAGCGCAAGCAAGCGGCCACAAGGCCAGTTCAAGAGTTCACTAGCATATAAATACAAAGCACAACAAGCAGAGAAAGCAACAGGACTACAGCAACCTAGGGCCTACCTCAACAAGCCCCAACTGCACACAGAACCTGTGGTGGTCACCAAGCGCCAAGGCCTTGGTGAAGACGTCTGCAGTGTTGGCCTCTGAGGCCACAAAGTCCAGGCGTGCCTGGCCGCGTCGCTGCAGCTCTCGCAGGAGGAAGTACCTCACGTCAATATGCTTCACTCTGCTCTCCAGTCGAGGCTCTCGACACAGGAGGATCATGGCCTTGTTGTCAGCGTACAAGGTCGGTGCAGAGCGAGGCCGCTCACCAAGGTCGGCGAGCAAGAAGGTCAACCAGCGAAGCTCCTGTGCCGCCATGGCACCAGCGTAGATCTCTGCCTCTGCACTGGAAGTAGCCACAGACGACGACCGTGTAGACCTCCACGACACAGCACCAGCTCCCAGACTGAAGCAGTAACCCTGAGTCGAACGCTGAGTCTCCACGTCGTCAGCGTAGGAAGAGTCGCAGTGACCAGTCAACGCCACTGGCTGAGTCCCTCCAAGCACAAGCCCCATGCCTGATGTAGTCGCCAGGTACTTCGCCACCCTCACAGCAGCTGTCCAGTGGACAGGACGGTGTCTCCCAGTCACAACAAAGCGAGAGAGGACGCTGAGGGGAAAGGCGAGGTCCGGGCGAGTACAAGTCATCAGGTACATGAGGCAGCCCACCAGCTCTGCGTAGGGACCACTGGACTCAAAAGGCTCGTCGGGAAAGGGGCCAGTGAGTCTGTGGTCAACAGCAAGAGGAGTGGGCTGTGTGGTGGAGAACTGGAAGTCGAACCGCCGAAAGACCTGCTGCACCATGTGTGACTGCGTCAGTGTGATGGTGCGAGCGGCTCTGTCCCGGGTGATCTGCAAGCCAAGGTAACGCTGCAGCTCACCCAGGTCAGTGCACTTGTGTCTCTTCTGCAGTTCGGACTTCACCTGAGCCAGGGCTGCCCTGTCTGCTGTAGCAAACACCAAGTCGTCGACGTAGACAAGGATAAAGAAGGGAGTAGAACCCGCTCGAACAAACAGCGACGGGTCGGCGGAGGACGGGCTGAACCCAAGGTCACGAAGCGTGGAGCAAAGAGTGTCGTGCCACTCACGGGGCGACTGGCGGAGACCGTAGACTGGTCGCCTCAGGCTCCACTGGGTCCCGGGTGGGAAGGTGTCAATGAAGCCAGGAGGATGGCGCAGCCAGATCTCCTCGTGCAGTCGGCCCTGGAGGAACGCAGTGGAGAAGTAGAGGGAGTGCAGCTCGTAGTCTCGCTGCGCTGCTATGTGGAGTAACACCCGAAGAGTAGTCATCTTCGGGGTCGGGGCGAAGGTCTGGAAGAAGTCAACTCCCTCACGCTGACTGAAGCCCCTAGCCACGTAGCGCGCCTTGAACACCGGCGGTGCTCCAGGCGGCCGCTTCACCTTGAAGAGCCACATGCCATCGACTACGTTCGTCCTGGGAGGGGGAACTGCGTCGACGTAGGTGCCTGTGGATCTCCAAGACGCCAACTCTGAGTCCATAGCCGCTTTCCACTGAGAGGCCCACGCCCCTAACACTGCCTCGCGGTAAGTGCGAGGAGTCGGTATGTCAAGGGCGTCGGGGTCTCCCTCAGGGGAGAGCAGCATGGCACACACAGAGGGAGAAGCGGCTGCCCAGTACTCCAGCTCAGACTCTCTGTCCTCTAGGACGTCACAGCCAAGGGCAAACTCACCCCCGACGGACAGAGGACGGTAGGGAGGAGCTGGCACCACACGGGTGGCGAAGTCAAGGCGGCTGGCGGCAGCAAACTCAGCGACAGCGGCAGTGAGAGCAGAGACCGACGACGGAGGGAAACGAGAGTCGGTGACAAGAGTGGCGAGGACACGTGCGGCAACAGGACGAACAGTGCGGTAGTAGTCAGTGATAGGAGTGGGGAGGGCTGGGAGAGAGGACGGAGGAGGAGACGGGAGAACGGACACAGGAGAAGGAGAACGACGACGAGACGTACAAAGGAGGGTAGTGTGGAGGTCAGTAACAGGGGACGAGTGACGAGCACACGGAGGACAACGAGTGACCAAGTCTCGACGGACCGAAGGAGGAGGAGACTAGGGAGGAGGAGAACACCAGACCGCCGGACGGTCATCAGGAGGAGGAACAAACACAGGAGGAGACTGGGAGCGGACAGGAGGAGAGGAGGAAAAGCCAAGGGCCCGCAGGCCACTCACAGGTGGGAACAACTGCCGCTCCAGAGGAAGCTGCGGTGGCGGCTGCGGTGGCGGCTGCGGCTGCTGCTGCTGCGGCGGCGGCAGCGGCTGCGGCTGCTGCTGCGGCTGCTGGTGCTGCTGCTGCTGCTGCTGCTGCCGCTGCTGCTCCAGAAGGTCCAGCACCCGCAGCTCCTGCCGCTCCCTCTCCAACCGCTCCTGCTCCTCACGCTCACGCTGGCGGGCAGCCTGGAGTCGTGTGTCGTGGCGGTGGGGAGGCGGAGTGGACTCCGCAGAACCAGGGTCAGACTCCTCAGACTCAGCACCCCCAGAACCAGCACCTCCAGTGCTAGGACCTCCAACTCCAGCACCCCCAGAACTAGCACCGCCAGTGCCAGTACCTCCAGCTCCTGCACCCCCAGAACTAGCACCACGAGTGCCTGCACCTCCAGCTCCAGTACCCCCAGAGCTAGCGCCACCTGCGCCTGCACCTCCAGCTCCAGCACCCCCAGAGCTAGCGCCACCTGCGCCAGCACCTCCAGCTCCAGCACCCCGCGACCGAGTACCCCCAGACCGAGCACCGCCAGTGGCTGCACCTCCAGCTCCAACACCAACCGAGTCCACAGTAACCTGTCGCGGAAGTGCCGAAGGCTGCTGAGGGGACTGTGAGGAGGACTGCGGGGAGGGAGACGCTACCTGACGCGCGACCGAGGGTAGGGGGGTAACGTGGGACACACCAGACGGGGCAGGACCAGGGGGGGGCGGTGGTACTGGAGGAGCGGGAGCAGGAGGAGGAGAGGGTGCAAGGAAAAGAGGGGGAGGGGGTACCGGGAGACCTCGACAGGGGTACCGGGTGTAGTAGGACACGGACTCGTCAAACCGGACGTCACGGGAGTCTAGGAACTGGTGGAGGGGAGGGTGGTAAAAGGACCAGTCGGCAGAGTCCACTGGGAAACCAAGGAAGACACAGGGGACGGCGCGTGCCGAGAGCTTGTCCGCGGAGGTGTCGCGAACAAGAGCAAGGCAGCCCCAGACTCGAAAGGCCGACCCGACACCAGGGGAACCAGTCCAAAGACTGGTCGGTGAAGCCTCGGGCCGCGAGACACGCGGCTGGAGGTTTAGCTGGTGTGCGGCGTAGCAAACCGCGTGGGGCCACAGAAAATGGGGCGCACGGGCATGGATCATGGACGTGCGGGCGATGTCCATGACCAAGCCTATGCGGCGCTCAGCAACCCCATTCTGCTGTGGGGACTCTGGCAGCGTCCAGGACTGGGTGATGCCCTGTTCGCCGCAGAATCCGCCGAGAATGCCGGAGCGAAACTCGCCCCCACGGTCGGAGTGGAGACAACTGACTCGACGACCACGAGTGCCCTCAGTGGCTAGAAGCCACCTGATCAGCGTAGCAGTCACCTCGGACTTCTTCGCAAGAGGGAACACCGTGGTGTATCTGGAGAAGTCGTCGACGACCACCAGAAAGTAACGCTCCCTCCCAGACCCCTGCGTCGGGGCAGGGCCCCAGACGTCCAAGTGGAGAGTCTCGAAGGGAGCGGTGGCCGGACGAAGGGAGGAGGAGTGGGGAGTGGCGCGTAAGCGACCGGCGACGCACGGAGAGCAAGGAGGGGCAAGCGAGAGAGGGAGCGACGAGAAGGTGCGAGGGAGACCTGAGACAAGTCCCTGACTGAGCATGCCACGTAGGCGAGGGAGCGACGGGTGGCCAAGGCGGTGGTGCGACAGGACGGTGCGGTGGGTGAGAGAGCGACAGGAGCAAGACGCAGCGACTGGACTGGACAAAGCGACCGGACCGGACACTACTACCTGGCTAGACACAGCAACCGGACTGGGGACCTGGGCCGGAGGGGACGCAACGACCTGAGGGGAGGACGCTACCAAGGAGCGCTCGGTGTGGAGGACGTAGAGACCGGAGCGGGGCTCCCTGGTGAACGTGGCCAGAACAGCACCTGTGGTAGCGTCTGTACAGACTGCAGTCCGCCCACCCCCCACGAAGGTAACCGTGATCCCCCTGTCCTGGAGGTATCCAACACCCACCAAGTTCCGAGTGAACGAAGGGATGTGGAGGCCGCGCAGGACACCAGAGGGGACCACAGGGCACGGGAGGGTGGTGGAGCTGCGCGCAACGGCTGGTCCAGAGGTAGGATCAGCCAGAGCCACCGACACAGGTGTGAGGAGAGGTGTAAGGGTCGTGTGGTCGCGGAAGAAGCACTGAGACGCGCCCGAGTCCAGCGTGAACGACAGAGAGGCCTCAGCCGGAGGGTCACCTGACCCAGTCGCTACACAAGCACCTAGAGCAGCAACACAAGCACCTAAGCTAGACAGGCACAGGGCTACACTAGCAGGAGGCAAGCAGGCTAACCTACGAACACGCGAGCACACAGATCCATCAGCACTAAAGTCAGCATCAACATGCAAAGCATGCTGACGCGCATCGTCCATGGACAAATCAAACACATCAATCTTACGGGCTAACAGACGAGACCAGCGAGGCGTGACCGCCAGAGGGCCCCAACAAGCCCGGTAGAGGTCGTCGAGGCGGCGGAAGCACCGCGCGGCAGAGTGGTCGTCGCGACCACAGAGACAGGGGCTACCTGGCCCGATGACGCACCAGTGGGTGCACGGGCCAGCGTCACGGCGAGGGGGGCGAGGGGCCCAGCTGGAAGTACTGCTGCTGCGGCTGGTGCTCCCAGGGCTTCCCGGACCCCACTGTGGCGGGGGACCCCAGTGCTGCTGCGGACCCCACTGCAGCGGGGGCCCCCACTGCTGGAACTGCTGCGGCCCCTGCTGGTGCTGCTGTCCCTGCTGCTGCTGCTGTCCCTGCTGTGGTAGGTGCTGCTGTGACTGCTGCTGCTGGGGGGGAACGCCCCCACCGGTCGGGCCTCCACCCCCGCCTCCACCGCCCCCACCTCCCCCCTTCCCGCCCTTCTTGCCACTCTTGCCCCGTTTCTGCCAGTCTGCCGCAGAAACGGCAGCAGTGTCCTCAGCGACCGACACAACAGCAGAAGTGCGGGTAGCGGTGAAAGTGGGAAGCTGAGGGGCGGCACACCCCGCAAAGAGACGGGGGGCCACCGCATCAGTGGCGGAGGCAACGGTGAGGAGACTGCTCTCGATGGTCCCTAGAGCAGTCGCTAGGAGGTCGATAGTGAGCTCAGTGGGGTGCTTCTGAAGAAGCGCGTCGCGGGCAGTGGCAAGGCGGTCAGGGAGGCGGGTGACTAACCAGTGAACAGTGAGCCACATGGGGGGGGGAGCAACTAGAAGCTGTGCGTCGGTACAGGCAGCGCGGAAACCGGCGTCAAGCGAGCGGAGGTGAGTCACTAGGTCGGAAACAGTCGCAAACGAGCCTAGTCGGGAAACACAAACGGCATGAGGAGGCGACTGAGGGAGGCAGAGGAGGGGGTGGAGTAGCGAGCAACAAGAGCCTCCCAAACCCCCTGTGCAGTCTCTACCTGGTCAAAGTGGGCGGCCTCAGTCGGGGGGAGAAGCTCCGACAGAGTGAGAGCGGCGGCTGCGTCACGCGAGAGCCACACGTCCCTGGCCAGGACCCGACGGTCGTAGTCCGCCTGGGCCGTAGATGTCGGCTCCGGGGCGGTCGGCAGGGCGGCGGGGGACGGGGGGGCCTGAAGGGCACCAGACGCGTGCGCCCACAGAGTGGCGCCGTCCTGTCGCTGGCTGGTGAGGAAGCGCGTGGTCTGGCGCTGCCAGGTACCGAACTCTATCGGGCGTCCCTCCGCGTCGAAGCGGAGGCGACGGGACTCCATAACGGAAGACATGCTCGAGGCGGCTGGAGCACAGCGGAGGCTGAGCTAAGAACGAGGAGGACGGCTACTGAGGGCGAGAGACGCCAGCTGGAAAGTTACGAGAGAACTGATAGCGGAGGGAGTAAACTAGGTGAGGCGGAGAACGGCTAGAGACGCCAGGGACGGAGCGACTAGGAGCTAGGGAGGATACGGCGCTACTGTTAGCTACCGGAGGTATGAGCGGCTGCCAGCCGCTGAGGTGAAGGCCAGTGACCGGGAGAATGGGGAGGGCCCGGGAAACAGGGCGGAGGATGGGTGAAACCGGCCACGTGCCGAGGGTAGGTGCGGATCGGGCGGGCTAGGGGGCAAACGAGGGGCGCGCGCGAGCGGAGGCGGAGGTGCGGAGGTGCAGAGGCGCGGTGGGGTGGCCGTAAGGGGCGCTAAGGGGCGGGCGAGGGGCCGTGTAAAGGGGCGCACGGAGGGGCGGGCGAGGGGCCGCGCTAAGGGGCGCACGAGGGGCGGGCCTTGGGCCGCACTAAGGGGCGCACGAGGGGCGGGCCTTGGGCCGCACTACGGGGCGCGACGAAGGGGCGCGCGGAGGGGCGGGCGGAGTGCCGCGCTAAGGGGCTCGCTAAGGGCGGGCCGAGGGTCGCGCGAAGGGGCGCGACGAAGGGGCGGGCCGAGGGCGGGCGGAGGGCCGCGCGAAGGGGCTCGCTAAGGGCGGGCCGAGGGTCGCGCTAAGGGGCGCGACGAGGGGGGGCGGGCTGAGGGCCACGCTAAGGGGCGCGCTGAGGGGCGCGGGCTAGGAGCGCGAGTGTGCGGAGGGCGCTAGGCGCAACGGAGGGCGCGGAGGGCGCTAGGCGCGACGGAGGGCGCGGAGGGCGCTAGGCGCACGGAGGGCTAGGCTAGGAACGTAACTGCTCGTGATACCATCTCAAACAGTGAACGCAACGGAATGTTTGGAATAGAAACGAACGGGGTACAAATGAGCAACCCTAGAAACTGTACCCCCTGCAGTGCAACTCACTACAGCGTATCATATCAATGTTCAACATTTGACACTACGGTAAAAGACTGCATATTTTAGTACATCTCGTGCAGAACATAAAAATAATCGGAACCTAGGCTTGCTAACAGAAACATGTGCTGCTAATAAATGCGTGAAAACAACCTTCTCATTCGGTTGTAACGGCATCACCAGAGCCAACCACTTTCCTGAACACATACGATTGCTCAAAGTACCCATGCCTGCAACATTACAATAAACGAACAGAAAAGAAACAGAAGGAAAAATAAATTAATAAAACATCATGATCCCCTTAGTTTCGAAGTCGTTTTGCCTGAGATTGTGAATCGTGCATCCCCTCAGCTCACCGGTAACAGTCTGTCACTCACTCATTTGTGCCGGCAAGTAGGCAACTCACCCGCTCTTGCCAGCAAACATGGGGGCCTGATTGTAGAGAAGCATGCTGTTCATGCTCTCTCTCTCTCTCAACTCGCGGGTGATAGCATGCCACTTAACCATTCGCGCTAGCAAAGGCAAGACCGTGATACACATAGTAGGCAACTCACCCAAACACAGGAGCGTGGTTGCAAAGAAGCATTTTATATCTTCATACCTTCTCTTTCAGTCTTCTCGTGTAGGCAGCTCACCCATTCTTGCCGGCAAACACAGGAGCCTGGTTGTAGAGAAGCATGTCGTTCATGCCTTCTCCCAGGTCGCTGGTGACAGCATGTCACTCACCCACTCATGCTTGCAAAGACAACTCACCCATTCTTGCCGGCAAACACGGGAGCGTAGTTGTAGAGAAGCATGTCGTTCATGCCTTCTCCCAGGTCGCTGGTGACAGCATGTCACTCACCCACTCATGCTTGCAAAGACAACTCACCCATTCTTGCCGGCAAACACGGGAGCGTAGTTGTAGAGAAGCATGTCGTTCATGCTCTCGTCCGAGGCTGGAGAGTGGGTGTTGCGACGCGCCTCACTGCCATGGGGTGAAGTGGGGAGAAATGGGAGGGGAGTAGTTGTAGAGAAGCAAGTCGTTCATGCTCTCGTCCGAGGCTGGAGAGTGGGTGTTGCGACGCGCCTCACTGCCATGGGGTGAAGTGGGCAGAAATGGGAGGGGAGTAGTTGTAGAGAAGCAAGTCGTTCATGCTCTCGTCCGAGGCTGGAGAGTGGGTGTTGCGACGCGCCTCACTGCCATGAGGGGAAAGGGGAGGGAGAATAAGGGGGAAGGGGCGGGGATGTGAGAGGGTGGAGATGTGAGGCAGAGTGGATGGGGAACGGAAGCAAGTTGAACGTGAGTGTGACTGTAGCGCGTGTGACTGTAGCACGTGTGACTGTAGTGCATGTGACTGTAGTGCATGAGTCTGTAGCGTATGTGACTGTACCACGTGTGACTGTAGTGCGCGTGACTGTAGTGCGCGTGACTGTAGTGCGTGCGACTGTAGTGCGTAAGTGCAGTGCGTGTGACTGTAGCGCTATTGAGACCACTTTCAACATACTTGACAAGGAAGTTGGCTGCTGCCTGTCCCACGGCTATGGCGTGTGGTGTGTGATAGAGGAACGACTAGTGCTAGTGACTGTAGCACTTGTGACTGTAGCACTTATGACTGTACAGCTAAAGAGACCAACTCACTTGACAAAGAAGTTGGCTGCTGCCTGTCCCACGGCTATGGCGTGTGCTCCGTGGGGTATGTGGTCCAACCCCCACTCGTATGCATTTTTCTGTTGTTGGGTGAAGGAATGAGAGGGGACGGGAGGGGAGGGGAAGGAGGAATAAGGACCGGAGAATCACCGCCACGGTGTGTGCAGCATGGGGCATGTGGTCCAGCCCCCTCTCGTACGCGTTCTTCTGTTGTTGGGTGAAGAGGTGAGAGGGGAGCAGAGGATAGGGGAGGGAGGAGTGAGAAGCACAGCAATAGCGTCTGCTGCATGGGGTATGTGGTCCAACCCAACTCCCACTCATATGCATTTTTCTGTTGATTTGTGCGTCGTGTGAAGCAATGAGAGGGGAAAAAGCACAGGAGAAAGAGGAGTTTGAGAAATACTGCAGGGGGTATGTGATCCAGCCCCCACTCATGCGCGTTTTTCTGTTGAATGAGAGGGAGCAGAGGGGAGAGCGGAATGAGACCAGCATGAGGGACCTCACCCACAGCACGAAGATGTGGGTTGGAACCGCAGCAAGCGGAATGACTCCGCGTGCTGCGGTTCGAACCCACAGCAATGGCGCCTGCTGCAGGGGGTATGTGATCCAGCCCCCACTCGTGTGCGTTTTTCTGTTGAAAAGAAAGATATCATTCGAGCGAGGGAGGAATGAGCGAGAGGAGAGAGTTTTGAGATCTCAAAAGGTGTGCTGCGTAGGGCACGTTGGTCCAAACCTGACTTGACGTTCTTTCTGCTGTTACGAGCCACGTCAGCATGTCACAAACCACGTCAGCGTGACAGAACCCACGTCAGCATGTGACAACCCACCTCGGGATGCCACTGTGTGCCATAAAAGGGGTACCGCTTTCCCTGCACTGTTGTCACATACTCCTACAGTCACAGATGGGCACACGGAGAGAACAGGAACATAAGTACAGAAATTAATTTCCCTGCACTGTACCACTTTGAACTGCTGTAAAGACATGGTACATACACTTCTCAACAGTGAGACGCAGTTGGAATAATTCGAACCACATTGTGTTCGAAATCATCGGAATCATAAGTTCTCTGATACAATAATTTAAAATATAGCATTTCAGTAATGAACGAGAGACAAAAACAACATTCCATGCCATACCAGTCCGTTCTTATCGAACGAGGTGGTGAGAACGAAAAAGAAATCCCTGAGCCTGCTGTTGGAGAGGAAGCGATGCACCGTGGTGCCGTCCTGAGGGGGGGGAGGAGAGAGGGAGGTGCAGAGAGGCGAATGGGGGGCTTGAAACAGAGTCGTGGTGAGCAGAGCACAGAGAATATATCCCTGACCCTGGCGTTGGAAAGGAAGCGATGCACCGTGGTGCCGTCCTGAGGGGGGGGAGGAGAGAGGGAGGTGCAGAGAGGCGAATGGGGGGCTTGAAACAGAGTCGTGGTGAGCAGTGCACAGAGAATATATCCCTGACCCTGGCGTTGGAAAGGAAGCGATGCACCGTGGTGCCGTCCTGAGGGGGGGGAGGAGGAGGGAGGGAAAAGAGCAGGTTGAGGGGTGCAGGGAAGGGGAGAGGCGTGGTGAGCACAAAGCAGAAATCCCTGAGCCTGGCGTTGGAGAGGAAGCGATGCACCGTGGGGCTATCCTGAAGGGGAGGAGGACGGAGGTGCAGAGAAGGAGGAGGTGAAACGGGGAGGGGAAGGGAAGGAGGTGGTGAGGACACAGGTACACCATCGCGAGCATTGGCAAAGGAGAAGAAAATCTGGAGCTTACCTGAAAATTGCGCAAGCAATTGGCAAGCTACCTTTCGCCGCACGCATTGGCAATCTGGAGATTACCTGAAAATTGAAATGCTTCTCCACGGGAAAGGTAGCTTCTGCACCTTTCATGCCATAGAGCGAGAGGTGCGGAGAGAGGGGGGGAGGAAGGTCGGAAAACCGGAAGTTACCTGATGGTTCTCCATGGTGAGAGGGAGCTCTTGCACCTTTGCAGCCAAATCCGGAGACATCCTGAGAGCGAGAAGGGGGAAAGGGCGCGGATGGAGGGGGGCGCGGCGGGAGGGGGGAAGGGTGGAGGCACAGTGAAACGAGAGGGAACGAGGGGGGCCGAGAGGAGAGGGAGCTCTTGCACCCTTCCCTGCCAAATCAGGAGACAGAGTGAGGGGCGCAAGAGAGAGGGGGGAAGAGAGGGGGAACGAGAGAGAGAGGGGAGAAGAGGGGGCATGGTGAGACGAAGGGGGGAAATTCCATCTTACTCGTTATAAGCAGACTCAACGGGAGAAGCAGCTCCTGCAGCGCACTTAGTTGCGAGTTCAGACCGTACTCGCTATAAGCGGCCTCACCAGGAGAAGTAGCTTCTGCGGTGCACCCAGTTGCCCACGAATTTGAGCGGAGAGGCCAAATCCAACGCGCTGAAGCGCCTCAGTTCCAGCAGGTTCGGGTCCTGAAAGTCAACGGGAGTCAACAAGTCAAAGAGAGTCAACAAGAGTCAACGAGTCAAAAAGAGTTAACAAGAGTCAACTAGAAGATGTGGAGGTGAATCAAAGCCGCTGAAGCGCCTCAGTTCGAGCAGGTCCGGTTCCTGAGAGTCAACGGGGGTCAACGGGAGTCAGCTAGAGAATGTGGAGGCATATTGGGATATGAATTTCAATGCAAGGCACTTAACCGCCTCAGCTCCAGCAGGTCCAGGTCCTGAGAGTCGACGACAGTCATCGAGAGTCAACAAGAGTCAACAAGAGAAGCAACAAATAGAAGATGCACAGGCTTGGGATCTCAATTTACATCCAAGGCGCTGAACCGCCTCAGCTCCAGCAGGTCCGGGTCCTGAGAGTCAACGAGAGTCAATGTGGGTCAGCAAGGGTGCGTGAGGGTCAAATGTGCGAGTCAATGAGGGTCAATGCTGCTCAATGCGGATGAACGCGGGCTAATGCCGGTGATGCGGGACAACGCTGGTCAATGCGGGTCAATGCGGGACAACGCTGGTCAATGCGGGTCAATGCGGGTCAACGCTGGTCAATGCGGGTCAATGCGGGTCAATGCGGGTCGATGCTGGTCAATGCGGGTCAATGCGGGTCAATGCGGGTCAATGCTGGTCAATGCGGGTCAATGCGGGTCAATGCGGGTCAATGCCGGACAATGCGGATCATGCTCAATCCCGGTCAATCGCGGTCAATGCCGGTCAATGCCGGTCAATGCGGGTCAATGTCACGATGGAAGGGAGGGGGAATGTGGGCGGACAAAACGTTTGAGAGGAACCGGGGGAGGAGGTAAGAATGCGGAAGGCAGGAAGGAGAACTGGGGAAGGGGAACGAGAGAAGGGAAAGGGAAAACAGACCAGGGAGGTGGAATTCGGAGGTGGCGCCTCGACAACAGAGCTGATGCCGAATGTTATACAAATTCCAGCCCACGAATGAAAACGTCAGCTGCCCGCTACATCTGACCCGCTACAAGCATACCTCGCTAATAATAATCGCCATGGCTTCGAACCCCATGCACGTGGCTTGCACGGGGAAAAAGTCGCCCCGATCGTTCGCCTCCTTGGCCCACTGCACATGGAACGGTTGACGGACTTCAACGGTTATTCCAAAAGCATGATTCCAACGGTTATTGCTCATTCCTTTTCTTTTGAGGCGCCTCAAAAGCATGATTCCAACGGTTATTGCTCATTTCTTTTCTTAATGACAAGATTAGCTGCAATCGAACGCCTTCAAGGTGCTACCAGGCTTGCAGAGACACTCGTGTGCAGCTATTAAGGAAACGCCTGATAAGATCGCATGCTGTACAGTAAGCAACGAAGCAGTTATGTCGCAAAATGGAAGTAATGTACCTGTAGAAGCAGCTGCACTGTAGACATGAAAGGCCCAGGCACCAAGTCGGTCCCTCCGCCGGGAATCAGCAGACCGTTGATCATATCGAATTTCTGGTGACAGGGACGTTACAGACAACAGGAAAAACGGAAACAAACAGTCAAATACTGATCCGTTTGCCACTGAAGCATATCACGCAGACCTTACCGTCGACCCATTGAAATTTTCACGGAGAATTTACCGTCGACCATTGGAACACTTCATTAGAGAAGAACCGTCAATTTCCACCTTCCCGTCCCACCAAGTGGATAGACTCGGGCCTTGCGAGAGAAACACTGCGAAATAAGATTCGGAGAGTTCGCAAACGCACCTGACGAAGTACCTCCACCGGTTCGTCGTACAGCAACGGAACGGGTCGTGCGCCCGCACTCTCCACCCACTTGGCGTACGAAGCGGCGATGTACGACACGTTCGTGTCAACTGCCCTGTGTCGCCCGACTTCCGCCCCGCCGTACGATCCCTCATCGTACGGCGTATCAACCGCCTGGTTCGAGTTGACTCGTGGCGCTTTTCCGCCATCGCCGTCGCCCGGCTGCGAGAGAATGCCGATTAACGGCTTGTCGTTTATCGCAGGAGGTTTCGCCGACTCGAATTCCGCGTCGGCTCCTGTCGGCTCGTCAAATCTAACGGCTTTGGCTCTCCGGCCGGCAAGAATGTTGTTTTTAGCGACTATGTCAGTAGCGGCGTGGGCAGAAAAATCACTTAGCGCGCTAGAACTCGAATAAATACCAAGATGTGGGATGCTTCGAGCATGGGAAGATGAGATGAGGGAGAGAGGCAGGAGGGTCGCGACGAATATAGCTACCGGAGAGAAAGTGAGTTGTGAAGGCTGCGAGCATGATGCGATGCGACAGAGTCCCATGTCGGTTTGGCGCGACCGATAATTACCCACGGAACACGCCGTGCGCGATACTCGGCGCAATCTCCGGGACGCAACGTTCAGGTTCTCCGTAAACTCGTGACGGAAAGTTAACGAGACTGTGTGTAACGAAGATGGAATCGCGTACGAGTTAAGGCCTGGCTGTGGACACGCTTTTCTTCTATGATGTCTGACGAGATGCGGTAGCGAGTCTGCTATTGTGGCGTTCGATATCGTCCGAGACAGCACGCGGTGCCTTGAAAGGACAGAATGTCGAGACGTGAGTGTGCGAGGAAGTGTCACTTCTAGCAAATTGCTGCAGACTCGTAAGCAGGCTCGATTTTGCGCCACTGTGGAAATGTGGGGAACATTCGAGTGGGAGGGCTGACACTGCAGGCAATTGGAAATCCCGCAGGACGACTGCAGTTTCAGCTCGTGCGTCGCGACTAGCTTGTGATACATCCTTTTGTTGTGCTTCAAACAACTAGGAAGGCTTGCTGGTGAGTTTTCCCACGAAGCATGCACCAGGAAGGAAAGGGAGGGATGGCGCAAGATATGCACGAAAATTGTCGCTGGTTTGAGTTGGCTGGATGACAAAACACGAATTTCACTAAAGACGGAGGTGGTGGGCGCAGCAGAGAGCCGTGCGTGGCATGATTTTTTTCTCTCGACATGTGAAGCTGGGGAAGGGGAATTGTGGAGGGGCTGGAAAATTTGTAAGTGCGGCGCGGCACAAAGTACAGTACGCGTCTCGGCTGATTCCACGTCATGCGATCGTATGGCAATTCCGGTCAAGCGGAACTGGCGCTGGAACCAGGTGGCTGGTGAGGAAGCACGCCGACGTGGTGAGGCATGATTGCTTGTTGATGTTCAGGATGACGCAAGTAGGCCTAAGGAATGCGTCATACCGACGTGGTACTTGCTCCCCACACGCAAGTCAACCATCTTACTCCACATATTCCGCCACCAGGGAACAGAAACACCTTGAACAAATATCACACTCTTATTACCGGTATGCATTATGTCTCCATAGAAGATGGGCATGTTATTTGTGGAAATGGTATAAAATGATTATTTATGGAGTTGGAAACATGTTATAAAAGCTCACTTATCCACTTGAAGCTCTCCACTTACTCACTGATACTTTTAACTTTATTAGCAAGGGGCTTTACTACATTATGAAGATACAATCTACTTACACCTTTGGGAGGAACTACGGTAACTGTACAGGTATTATTTTACAATCAAGCAGACAGTAGGCTGCTTGAGAGGCTACCCTGCCCGCACAGCACAGCATTTACACTGGGCAGCTGCCAAACAGTGAGACGAGGAGCTCGGCTCCAAGCACCACATCGTCTTCATCCACTTTATTCCCAAGCTGCTGCTCCTCATGCCGCAGACAAACTTTCTTCCCAACATGCATCGGCTCATCGCACACTTCACCCTCCTCTGGCCCTTCTCCTACTGGGCTGCCGCAGTCACTGTTGCTGCTGGTGGCAGCAGATGGAAGGCCTTCACAGCATGACGACGGCGCGTAAACGAAGAGACCAGCACGAGGGCGTGGAAGCCGGGAGCGCGCTTTGTGTACCGGCGATTGAGGCAGAGGCTTCGAGAAGGCCAGGTCGGCGGAGTCGTATTCTCGCAGCATTGCTGCTTCCTGGGGGGATGCCTTGCGCTTTCCACTGCGGATCTTGTTGAATCGAATGCCGCATGCATTGCACAGTGACTGCAGAAACGAAGAGAGAAAGTACATAAGACGGGAAATTAGCAAGTGATGCCATCCAGATTTTAAAATGTCAACATATTTATCAGAATATTTGAATGTCTACACCTCATGCGAAAAAAGGGATGATGAGATTACCTTGGGTCCGGGAGGCCCATTTCTCCACAGGGGCGTTTTCGATGTGCCACAGTGCGCGCAGGTCTTCGCGATTCCATTACTCTGCGTCGCAGCCGCATCGTCCCCTTCGCACGAGTCCCAACGGTCGGGCAATTCGTCGCCGTCAGTCACCTCCTCTCGCATCATCTCAGGCACGTAAACTGGTTTCCGGGCGTCCTTCTGCTGATAAAGCGGCTGCATCTGCTGCTGATGACGATCCTGTTGGTGCTGATGTCTGTGCGAGTCATGCGATTTCGATGCATTCACGACGATCGACTCTTTGTTCACATCCGGTACTGACATCCGGCTAACGGCCTTATGACGAAGGCTGTGGGGGAGAGAGGACCTAGGAGCGGGGGACCGTGGGCCAGAAATGGCATAAGCAGGGACGGCGGCAGGGTGTGTGCGAGCGGCTGTCGCGGTGGCGAAACCGTGCGACGCGTCTGCGACGTCATCGCGAACGAAAAACATGTTGACGCCGTGGGAGGCGACAGGTTTGGAGCCGTCGCTCGCCGCGGGAGTCGCAGGGGCTTGAGAGGAATCCTGTAGGAAATTACGCAGAGTGAACAAAGGACCATGTTTATAGAGGCATCACGAGAAGAAAAAATTAACAAAAATAAATAAAAGCACGCGACGTCGAAAGTTCTTGTAGGGATTTCTCATTGATCGAGTTACAGTAACGTTACTAGGGAGTGTCTGCGACTTTACCTGTGACGTCGAGTCATAGAGAGCAGAAGGCGGGTGGTTGATGTCAATCATCGGTTGAGAGGACTTCCGTTGTGCGGAGAACGCGAAAACGTCGCTTGCTCCGTCGCTTCCCCCGTCGCTTTGAAATGTCGCATGCGCCTCAAGGACACAGCCCCCATCAGCCGACATCCCGTATCGCGCATGCGAGCCGTAGTCCCTCGCGTCCTCCGTAAAGACATGGACGCTAATTGGATGATGGGAAATCACGGCAGCTCCGGAAATCGCGGAAATGGACGGCGGATACGACGGATCGCAAGGCGCTTCGACCAGGGGGCGGGAAAGTAAGTGACGGAAGCTCATGGAAGAAGAAACGAGCGCTGGAGGTCCGGAATCCGAGGATTCGATCGAAGGGAATGACTCGAGAGCAGGAGGCTTTTGCCCTTTCCATGGCTTCTTCATGACGTGATTATAGTTCCCGGCCATTGCGGGATGCGAATGCGAGCCCTGAACGTGCAGCATGTCGGATTTTTAGACGATTAGGGAATGAAAATTAGATCAACGAGAGATGGGGAGAGTGATAGAACGGGTGTGCACGAGACGCGCGCCGCGGGGACTAAAGGATCGGTGGTTGGCGGGATCGACTAAGACGCGATTATCGGACCACGCGAAGCTATTCTAGAGCTGCTGGCAGGTACTTCAGCTAATGCGATCAGGAATGAGAAAATGATCAAGGCAAGAGAAGGCTCGGGAAATGAAGCAATCGTAGAAGGGTCTTGAAAGGATAAGGTCGGTTTGATCAGGCGCGCCTAGGCGAGGCGAGAAGGGCAGAGAGGAGGGGGAATCGGGATGTCTGCTGCAGCATTGCCCAATGAACGCGCTTGGCTGTTCAAATGCCCCCGAGAGGCCCGATTTCTGCCTTCGTGCTTTCCAGCCTCGATGGCTTGCTGACTAATTGCCGGTTTGCTGGCTATCACAGTACACTTGTGTTTCGCCTATTTGACAGCCTGTAAGAAAATAACATGCTTCAGTGTCTTTACCGCAACTTTCATGTTTGCCGAGCTGGACAAGTGGATCAGCGCTAGTATTTCATCTGGGCTCCAAGTCAGCAGCACGAACATGCTATGATTCGGAAAACCATTCGAGACTATCTCCTGCAGATAAGAAATTGGCAAGATTGTATCGCACACACGGTGTATTATTTCCTTCAAGAGCCAGCACTTCGGTTCATATCCAAGGTCCTTTCTGCCTGCCGCAGCAGACTACCGTGACACCCCATTCCAGTCTGCTGTGCTGTGAGCTAGTCAGCCTCACCTGAGAGTGACTCAGCATTCCGGCATTGATGCGGCGTGACTCGCTGATTCATGCTGACATAGAGTAATTGGCCAATCGTAAACGCCGGCATCACCAGACCAGATCAGGGTCCAGGTTTGGCTAGAACCATCTGATTTTGGATCGAAACGGACGGAACGGACGTGACGTGGGAGGGATGCCCTTCCCTGCCTGTCTGACAGGAAATGAACTGCATATTGGTTCTGTACAAAGAAAACCATTGCGGATCAAAGAACGGATTGTGTACAGAAGGGTTTCACGTGCCCTGACGAGGGAGCCGTTTCAGATTGTCCTGTCTGTCCTCAATTCAGTCCAAACACTTAGCGGAGCAAATTCCGAATGCCCCTAAAAAAGGTTGAGTAGGGCAGGGCAGGAGGAAACAAAATCCTTCTGGAGGCGGATCAAGAACTGTTACGGCACAACACGTATAGAAGGGAGAAACGAGGACAGCATTCCAATATCTCCTAGGATATGTATGGCGCAGTGTTGTGAATGGTCAAGGCTCTAATATTCGGCCAGGACAGGGTGATTGTTGTGATGTGACCATGATATTCGGAGCTGGTTGGGGAGGGGCAGACTGGGTGTGATTAGCTGTGCAAAAAGGAAAGGGGGTGGTGGGACAGTGCACGAGGAGAGGGAGGGGGATGGAGAGGCACTTGTGCGCATGCACTTGTTCAATGCAACTGTTGTAGCGCAACACCGATACTGGCTTGCCCACGCGCGAACCCAAGCGTGAAGAAATCACCTGTGTTATCAGGGTATTAGGAACGCATTTCACTACAAATATGGGGCCATTCATGGTCCGGTAACACATCAGGGTCCTCTTCGGTCTTTAACTCAGTAAACCAGTGTGCGGTTGCGAGGGCGAATAGCTGTCCGTCCAGCCCTTTGAGTTCCGATACAAAGAGCGGGGTGTCATTCATTGAAGAGGATCCACACGAGGGTTCGTGCCCCGCCCTGAATCGAAGCCAGTCAGTGGTCGGGTGCAAATATTCGAACAAAAGACAAATCATTGCACTTCGGCAAGAATGATAAGAGGAACTGAAAACGAAATTGGGGACCGCAAGCCCACTGACGATGGACAAAGCCTGACCTGATACGATTCCTGTACAAGGCAATGCAAGCAAAACATCTCGATTCTTGAATGTCCCACCCACCCGCACACGAACACCTGACGACGACGTCGACGTGATCGAGGAATGCTTGTTCATTCGACGGCTGCGATGTGTACGTGCGCACATAACCCCTCACCACCCCCGTACGACTGATTTGAAACGATCAGTCTGTCCTGAGGGAAATGTTTGACGAATCTGATGGCCGACCTGAGGAATGGTGGACTAGGTTCAAGGGGCCATCACAGAAACGTAGGTCGGGTTCTGTACGTGTACGCATTCCATAGGTGATTCGTAACATGCCTGGTTCATCGGTTCTGTACGCCTCATCAAAATGACGATGCCCGGCCCGTCCCCCCAAAAAAACATCCACATTTTCAAATACGAGCTTTGCATGCCGCGTGACCAATGCGACTGTGGCATGCACATCGTCGAGGTGGCAAAAATCCTGCTTCTCTGTTGACGCCATCATGATTTCGAGTGGGTCCGCACCTGGTTTTGCACGGAAGGCAGACTGGATGACGACATTACCTGATCTAATGAACCAAACTCATCCATTTTCTTTCTCTAATTGGTCCGTGAAACAGCTTGAAGGGATGCCTGGCTGGCAGATACAGAGATATCATTCGTCGTAAATTTACGCCATTCATCTCTTCGGTCGTACTCTGACTAGGTTCGTTCATGTGCTTACGTGGACCCATGTGGTTAAAACGACTTGGACGTCTCCCAGCCACATCTGCGATTTTGCATCCATACAGCTTGGGCTTGAGATTCCCGTTTCATCAGAATGTTATCGTTACAACCATAAATTATGAATTACAGTGAGGATATCAAATGGATATAATGTTATGCGTGCAAGTGTGGACCAAAAATCAGATGCCACACCAAACAGGCTAGTTTCCCATAACATTACAATTGAAAGGGAACGTTCCCTAGTTTTTACTCTCAAGAAATCAAGCTGAAGGTACCAGTCTTATTTCACATTTACATGAACCTGAGCACTAATATGTACACAATATTTACATTGGACTGCTGCCAAAAAGTGAGACAAGCAGCTCAGCTCCAAGCACCACATCGTCTTCATCCTCTCTCTTCGCCTGTTGCTCCTTACCAAGCAGCAGGCATGCTTCCTCTTCTACCTGCTTTCTCCTGAAGCCCTCACACACTTCACTTTCCTCTGACCCTCCTGTTGCTGGACTGGCTTCATTTAGATCCACAAGGGAAGGAATATAGCACCTACCCTCACCTACTGCTGTGGCTCCAGTGCAGGAGAATCGTCTTGCTCCCTGGATGCTCAAGCAACTCACTCCCGTGCTATCAGCTTCCCCGGTGCGGTCCCCTTGTGCACCCAAGGGCGTGGTAGGAGGAGACGCCTTGCGCTGCTTCTTAAACGGCCGATATTTTTCCAGGTACACGTCGGATGCAACCGCTGTCATAGCAACAGGAGCAGGAGCAGCCACAGCAGGGGCAGAAGAGGTAGTTATATGGGACGATGCGACCGACTGGGAACGCTGAGTGGCAGAAATTCTTGCTGGGGCAGGAAGGCCGTGGCAGAAATTATTCGGAAGTATGGCAAGCGGAGACCGAGGGCTGCCATCCTCACTGTCACAGTCGCTGTTGCCGCTAGCGAATCCAGCCGGGATGCCTCCAGTGCATGACACGAAATTGTCAGAAAACGGACCAGCAGGAGCACGAGGCAGCTTGGTTCGTGCTTTCTGCACGGGTGACTGTGGCAGAGGCTTGGCGAAGCCTGGGTTGACGGTTTCGTATTCTCGCAACATTGCTGCCTCCTGGGGGGATGCCTTGCGCTTGCCGCTGCGGATTTTGTTGAACCGAATGCCACACGCATTGCACAGTGACTGCAGCCAAATGAGAGAGGGGGAGAAATAGGAGCAACAATTAGTGCCTTTCATGACCGCAATGGGACAGGCTGACGCCATAGTCTATCAAGCATGCATGGAAATTAACAAGTTAGGAACAAACAAAGGATGGCGTGATTACCTTGGGTCCGGGAGGGCCGTTTCTCCAAAGACGCGTTTTCGACGTGCCACAGTGCGCGCAGGTCTTTTCGATTCCGTCGTTCTGCACCGCAGCAGCGTCTTCTCCATCGGTGTAATCCCAACGGTAGGGCGACTCGTCGCCTCCTCCAGTCACCTCCACTGGCGGAACGATCGTTTTATGGCTGTGCTTCTGCTGACAAAGCTGCTGCATCTGTTGATGATGAAGATTTTGTTGATTGCGATTCGGACTCTGGTCCTGCTGGCTGTGAATTGCGTGTGAATCAGGTGATGTCCCAACGGCCAACTCATTCATGTCCGGACCCGACATCCGGCTCGTGGCTTTATGACGGAAGTTTCTGGGGAGGGCGGGCTTAGGAGCGGGAGACTGCGGGCCGGAAACGGCGTTAGTAGTATCAGGCTCGTAGGTTGTCGCCATTCGCTCGAGCGACTGCCAACGATTCGCGACGTCGCTGACGTGCGTGAATTCCTGTGGTTGATTTGCAACGGCTCGTTGAAGGGAAATTGGTCGCTGACGGCTCGCGAACGACGGGACGCGAGCAGGGTGTGTGCGAGCGGCTGTCGCGGTGGCGAGACCATGCGACGCATCTGCGACGTCGTCGCGAGCGAAGAACATGTTGAGGTCGTGACAGACGACAGGTTTGGAGCCGTCGCTCGCCGACGGAGTCGCAGGGGCTTGGGAGAATTCCTGCAGCAATCAGGGAAATAGTAAAGAAGAAGGATAAAGAAAATCAGGACACAAATCCAAAAACAGAAAAACAGATGCCAAGAGATCATATGATAAGACGCAAGTTCCTGATTCACAAGTTTGACTGAAATCGAGTAAGCAGTAGGAGGGGAAGGGGATACTATGCTTCTAGCGGTCTTACCTGTGACGCAGACTCAGAGAGCGAAGAAGGCGGGTGGTTAATGTCGATCATCGGTCGCGGAGACTTCGGCTGCGCGGAACACGCGAAAGCGTCGCGTGATCCGTCGCAATTTCCGACGAATGTCGCATGCGAGCCGTACTCATGCGACAAATCATCCGTGAAGAGATGGACGCGAGAAGGAGCGTAAGGCGCTTCGACCAACGCGGCGGAAAGAAGGTGACCGAAGCTCATCATGGGAGCAACCACGGCTGGAGGCCCGGAATTCGAGGACTCAAGCGACGGGAAGTGCTCGAGAGGGTGAGGCTTGTGGCGTACGCATGGCTTTTGCATCATGTGGTGGTGATTCTTGGTCATCGCCTGATGCGAATGCGCGCTCGAAATGTTCAGCATGTCGAATTTCAAGCTGGGCAGAAGATCGCGGAGAGGAAACGAGAGAAATGGACCTCGATTGTGCAGACGCGCGTCGCAGGGAACGGAAGATTGGGGTTTCAAGGGGACAGGAGAGAGATAGTGTTAGGACCTATAGTCGTCGGGATCAGTGATGTGGTTTCAATAGCAGGAGATAGAAATGTTTCAGGAAAGAGTTTCTAAGAAAAGGGTCACGAGAATGAAGCATTTTGCACTGGCTCTCGACTCTTGAACTGATCAAGCTGGACTGATACTGATCTGATCACAGGAAGTCTCAACTTGAGACGTTGGAGTCTCTCCTTCCTGCAGCGGTAGCCAATGGCGTGTCTATTCGAATGGCGAGGGGGCGCTTTCTGCCGATGCAGCGCCTTCATGGCATTCATTCGTTCTAGAATGTGGCAACCGATGAACGGTACACGTAATTCTCGTAATTCTTTTACCCAATAATGGTGACCTCGTTTTTTCTGTAAACAACCAAGACTAAGCTGGATATGCATCTCGGTCGCGGTCTGATAGATACAAATTAAGCAGGTACAGCAGGCGATATGGATCGCGGGGGAACCTGGCTTATATTCGTCCCAAGTGTGTGTCGAGGTTGATTATTTATGCACCGTTACTGTTTTTTCTATTTACGAGAAGTTTCGGTCCATGAAAGCTATCTGTGTTCAATAACGAGATCACAGTGCAAGACCATGGACGCCTCAATTCTGCTGCAACAATTGAGGTCCTTTTTTTCTGCTTGGGCAGACTCTTGTCCAGGACACGGCATCGCAGTCTGCCCCACTTCGAGTCGGTCAGCCTTACCTGAATGTGACTCGGCAACACCACATCCGTGGAATGCGATGCGAGACTGGATGATCCATGCTGACGTGCACAAACCATTCGAGCAATCGCAAGCGCCGACATCACGGGGTCAGATCAGCTTCCAGGTTTGCCGAGATGCTTCTGGTTCTGGTTCAAGTCTTGACTGAAAAAGGGGATGCATGCCTGCCTGACTGGCGGTCACGGAGGGACCGTCACCAAAGGCTGACGCGCATGCTGCAACAGCCATGCGGAACTGATCAAACGTTTCCCTCCCGTGAGGGCGCCAATTGCTCGAACTAGATGTCAAATGCGGGCAGGAGGGCGGGGGTGCGTGAGACTAGGGCCCTGATCGGTAGCCCCTAAGCGGCTTAAAGCCGGCGGCCCAAATTGTTCATGCTTTTAAAAGTTGACCAGAGGGAGTTTTTCTGGTGTGGGCTTTGGCGAGAGTTTCCGATTTCGTCTAGGTTCGTTTTTTTCGCGAGACCCAGCCAACCCTCGGTTTTCCCCCTGGTGAGTGAATCTGTCTTCGAAAGTCCCAAATTGCAAGTGCGTGACTTTCAAAAGCTTGGACACTCAACTTCGTCAAGTTTTAAAAACTTGACCCTCGCGGCCCGCAATTTGGGACGCGGGCTTTAAGCTTCTGTCGCCTTGGCACACACATGTGGGCACGTGTCGGTGGGTGCTTCCCTTCTCCTCCTGTAAGTTTCCCAACTCCGAGGGGTGATCTGCACGCCCTCGAAACCCCGCTTAGGGAAGTTGCGAGGGTCGTGAGCGCGATTTCCCTCAACGCACTGTTGTGCTCGGCCCAGACTGCCCCACTCGTGACCAAGAAAACGAATTCCCACAAAGGGGTAACTTATCCAGAAAATGACAACATCAAGAACCACTGGGAGTTGGGGAAATAAAAATTTTTGAAGATATTTGAAGGCTTCCCTGAAAACAAAAAGTAAAATTTGGGGTTTTGTCGGGTTCACCCTTCGCGGGCTTAATCCGAGTAAGCGAGGCTTACTCTCACAAAAAGCCAGGGTTAGTGGAGTTCAGCCGCGGAGCTAAGTTTGCCCGTGAAGGAACCTTCCTGAATGGTCACTTCGAGTCGTACTCCGAGTAGGGTGTTCGGGCGATCGTTTGCCCATTCTGACTTATGCAGAGTAAGCCACGTCGGACTGAGTAAACTTCCGTCACACGTGCAAAGCGGGACTTAGAGAGCTGCCTAGAAGCTCACTAACCCCGCTTAAGGGTGCTACCGATCAGGCACTAGGAATGAACCACGCTCGCACGTGGTGAAGGAGAGGGGGGGCGGTTGGGGGGGGAGGGGAGATAAGGGGGTAGGGAGGGTGGGTGGAGAGAGTACAGCTGGGGAAATGCATGCGAATCAAGGCTTTGGTTCATCTCCTCTCTCCTCCACATCATTTTTTCTGTTGCTCTGCCGACGCATGCACAAAACTGATGCTTCAACCGGTTCCTCGTGAACCCACACTGGTGATGACATAGTTTGATGACACGAAGCATCTCTCATGTCGCCACACACTCGCCGCAGCATCTCCATCCTGCTACGGGGGATCTATTGTTTGCAGTGCAGAGCAGAGTCCTCAATAGCTGGGATGAAATTATCGGTGTGTGACGACGAGGTTCACAAGTCGGGTCGGGTCCAAACGATCAGCTTGCGGGCAGTTTCGGCAGCCACCTTGATCAATTTTAGACAAATCCGGAGGTCTTTCGCGGCAGCACGCAGATCCATTGGCTGAATCCCCGCATGTGTGCGTGTACTACCTGATCACGAGGGGCTTCGCTATTTGCACCAATAATAATCGTCCTTCACGTTTCATTCAGCAAGGACCAGCGTGGCATGTCACGACCAAGGCATTTTGAAATGAATGCTTTTCATTGAACTGGCGAAGTAGAAGCCCAGCTGTGGTTTGACGGCATCATTGTTGCCTGTGGTCAACACACCTGGTGCTGCAGTAAAAGCAGGCTGTGTGACGTCTTTTCCAAATCAAACGGACCAACCACATCCTTTGGATATCCCCGAACCAACCCAACTGGATAGAAACGCACACAAAACAGTCACGACAACACTATGTGCAGTGGCTGGTGGAGGGGGGAAAGACTAGGGAGGGAGGGGCTGGAAAGCAGGTGCAGCGGATGGAGAGCAGGGGTTTGGGGGAACGGTGATGGGGGGATGAACTGGCGCAACTTTGATCTACGTTTTCGTCCGTCATGTCTGAGAAGAATGAAGAACGAGGATGAATGAACTATGAATGAGGTGAGTACATATAGGAAACCCTAATTGGGTTGTACCCCCTATGGGATACCCCACTATAGCCTACACAACAGCATGAGCTATATAATGTTCTGACACACCCCCATAGGCAAAGTGGGGGAGAACAAGGGGTCACAAGACCAGTCAAGCAAAGCAGAGCAAGCTCAGGGTGGATCACAACGTCACCACACAGTCCGAGCACAACGACAAGGCCACAAGGCCAGTTCACATGCAGGAGTACACATATATATATAGAGCTAGACAAGCAAGAGCAGGTATATATATGTGACAGTACAAGTAAGGTCAAGAGGAGAGCAAGTGAGGCAAGACAGGTACAAGACCCAGTTGAGTGCAGAAGCGCTGATGGTCACAAGGCGCAAGTGCCTTGGTGAACACATCAGCAGTGTTGGCCTCAGAGGCCACGTACGCAAGTCGCAACTGACCACGCTGCTGCAGCTCACGAGCAAGAAAGTAACGGAGAGCAATGTGCTTCGTTCTGTGCTCCAAGCGCTGCTCTCGACACAAGGCCAGCATGGCCTTGTTGTCTACGTACAGCACTGGAGGAGAACGAGGCGGCTCTCCAAGGTCAGTCAGCAGGTAGGTGAGCCAGCGAAGCTCCTGTGCAGCCATGGCCCCGGCGTAGATCTCAGCCTCACAACTGGAGCCGAGAACAGAGGACGAGCGAGTAGCTCGCCACGAGACAGAGCCAGAACCAAGACTGAAGGTGTAACCCTGCGACGACCGCTGCGTAGCCTGGTCGTCAGCCCAAGAAGCGTCCGCGTGCCCAGTGAGGACCACTGGACTCCGCCCTCCAAGCACTAGTCCCATGCCCGACGTACTGCACAAGTATCGCAACACCCTCTTCGCTGCAGCCATGTGCTCTGGTCGGTGTCTCCCAGGAGCAACATAGCGTGCAAGAATGCTAAGAGGGTATGCAAGGTCAGGTCGTGTGCAGGTCATCAGGTACATGAGGCAGCCAACAAGCTCTGGATACGGGCCACTCGACTCTACGGACTCATCCGAAGGCAGAGCTGAGAGTGAGTGGCGAGTAGGCAGAGGAGTGGCCTGAGGCGAGGAGTACGTGAAGCCGAAGCGCTGAAGGACCTGCTGCACCATGTGTGACTGAGTCAGGGTAATGGTGCGGCGTGCTCTGTCCCGGGTGATCTGCAAGCCAAGGTAGCTGCGCAGTTCACCCAGGTCTGTGCACGTGTGTCTCTTCTGCAGCTCGGACTTCACGTGGGCGAGTCCAGCAGTGTCAGCTGTGGCAAAGACCAAGTCGTCGACGTACACGAGGATGTAGAACGGCGGCAGAGAGGTGTCGGTGCGTAGAAACAGCGACGGGTCGGC